TAAGAAAATTTCGATTTATCGAAATGTTTTTCGTGTCACACGTCTCAATTATTTTTAATTAACAAGATCAATTTTTTAAGTATTTTCTGAACAACTCAGGTAAAACGGGTGTCTTTATCATTAATTTCGTGTAAAATTTTCTTCCATTTCGCATGAAACCACTGGTAACACTCAGATTAGTGAATTTATTAACCAAAAAAAAAGTTTTGAGATAAAAACAATCACAAGTATTTTTTTTTTATTAAAAAAATATGTTTTTTTGTTTAAGAATTTGGAGAAATTAACAATTAAAACCCCATTTTACCCCAGTACTTTTCAACTTATAGCAAAAAAATCTTTGGTCTACCGAAATTTTTCTCGTGTCACACGTCTCGATAATTTTTAATTAAATAGATGAATTTTCAAATATCTTCTAAACATTTCGGGCAAAACGAGTCGTCTCTATCATTAATGTACTTTCAAAAAATGGTCTTGAGATAAAAGGTCTTGAGATTGATTAACGAATTGTGAAATGCAAAAAATTATCTCTCAGCGAAAATTCCCACAAAAATCCTAAGGGAACAAGTGTTTCTTGCAATTTCCTTCGACCTTCGCTCCCTCGCTAGACATCTCTAATAGCCCCTCAACTCAATTTTCCGCAGAAACCCTCGAAATTCGATTTATCCCGCAGTATTTCCCAACAACATTCCTCACTCCAAATTACTAACACTCAGTACCCGTCATCTCGTGACATAGAACTCAATACAGAATGGAATTGGGATGATCCCAGTGGCTTGAGACTCATAACCATCAGTTGCGTGCCAAGAGAACGAAACACCGTCGTCCAGAGATTGGTGGACCCAGAAGTGTGACACAGGTGGGGTACGTATGAAACAGCATGGGAGGTCTCAGCGTCATATCATCCGAATATTTCAATTTGCAACGTTCGCAGACACGAAAACTGTTCGTTACTCATCATTTTATGTAATGAAGAAATAGGGGGTAATTTTTTTCAGGGAATGCCTGTGTAGAGAGGTACAGACTCACAGGGGTCACATATGAATTCGAGTTGATTAATGCCCAACAGAAATATTGCTCAAACGAATAGGAAAATTTCGAACGAAGAGTTTCATTTGTTTCGATAGAGGAAATTGCTCTGGTATTGCATATAGTATAGTTGTTTTCCTTCTATCATGTACAATTCATTGCTTATTTCATTTTATTAAATTGAATAAGATTTCATTTAATTCTGTCAGATTTTCAACTTAGCTGAATGTTATCGTCATCATTATTCTTATTATCCCTTTCTTCTATACAACCGATTGTCTTTTTTACGATTCTATCTCTCCCCTCAGCCCTTGGATAAAATGTTGATAGAAAAATTTTATTTACACATACTTAAACGAATTTGAAACATCACATTTGAAGAAACCAGCAGAAAGCTCACTTTCAGGGAAATTCATGAAAATTTCGAAATTTTCAACAATCATCATAAAAATCAAATCAACCAATATAGCTATCGTAATCATCTTTTAACTTCGACGTAATGGCATTAAAACAAACATTTAAGCTATGATTGAATTCATTTGAAGCATAATATTCAAAGATATCCCCGGAATTCTCATTTTCAAAAAATACAAATTTTTGCAAATTTTCAAATAAAACAAAATAACGATTATTGCTATCGCCTTCATCTTCGAACTCGGTCAAAAGGACATCCAAACAAATTTTTTAAGCCATCGTTCAATCAATTCAGAACATTTCTTTAGTTATCGTGTGACAACCGATTTTCGAAAAAAATCGAAAATTGAAAAACTAATCGATGAATTAAATTTTAATTAATGGCGATCGATAGGGCTCAATAATACCTACATTTAGAAAAAAAGATTCAATTCTGTCGTCATTAGCGAACAACTGAAGAAAAAAAATTTGGTTGCATTGTGGGTCAAAATAACACAAAAAAGTACAAAACTTAAATTTGAATGATTACAAAACTTCCATTCGGACGAAAAAATGTCACGTGTCTTTCAATTCAGCAACAGCAAATCTGAAATTGAGGCACTGTTGTCCCCTTTTTAAGACCTAGATTTAAGTAATTTTTAATTTCTAAAAATGAGACATTAAAAATGTCAATCATATGATGTCCCATGTTTTTTTCCAAATACTTCATTCACTTTCTCTCAACAATCGAATGAAGACACTAGTTTTTACTTTCTCCCCTGCGCAGTATCTTCCCAATCCTCTCCGAGCAGATTACATCATTCCTCCTACTGCCATTAATCGTCAACAATGACTTGCATCATCGAGTGGGTCATTTATAACCCATTGCAAACTGCCTCCACCAAGTTTATTTAACACAATGGTGGAATAAACACCGGAGCATGCAAAATTTCGTGCTAAAATTGTCTAGACAGTGGATACTCTAGTCCCACAATAATCTCCACCCCTTTCTCATCCCAGAATTTAAAACTGTGTTTGAATTGATGTATTTACACGGGGTAAGAAAAACATCCAATCAGTCAGTTTATTCTCACTTAGAGCTACATTTATCCCCTGGTTGATTTATCCGCACATGATTTTGGTATTCTGTAAACAAATTGTGGATCTAACGTGTTATGTGAGACGTAATAGTCACTGGCTTCCTCAATGGCATGACTACCAGTAATTGTCCGAGGGGATTAAATATTATTTACTCATTAAGAAGCTTCGCTCGCCCACAATAAGGAGGGGGCTGTGCCCCTCTTTATACATCGCATGGAAATTTGATACATGAAAATCACCAATTTCTCAACGTCGAATGAAATTTTCTGTTTGTTTTTTCAATTTTTATAATTTTGTGCCTGTGACCTGCATGTGAACCTCTCCAGGGGGGGCCCGCCCCCCTTCATCATCATGCAGTAACATCGGGGCTCTAGACAGCCCAGGTATGACCCCCATATGATCTCTCATACATGATCTGCACGTCATTTTCCTCAGCGGGGTGGAGTTCCTAGTTCCCGAGGGGGCCAGGCCCCCCTAAATGTACTACAGCAATTTGAGCCATGAAATCACCGTTTTTTTTAGAGTGAAATGGATTTTTCTAATTTTTTACTCAATTTTCATCATTTCGTAATTACAACCTTCATATGATACTTTACAGAGGGGGTTTGCCCCCCCTTCATCATCATATAGTAACGTAGTAACTCTGTATAACCCACGTATGACCCACGTACCTCTCACATGATCTCTACGTGATCCTCCTTGGAGAGAGGGATTCCTAGTCCCCGCGGGGGGCAGCCCCCCCCCCCGTATGTAGCACATAGAAATTTGATACGTGCAATCGCTATTCTTTTAGGATCAAATAGAATTTTCTGATTTTTTTCCTCCATTTTGATGATTTCATGCTTATGACCATTATATCAAACTCTCCAGAGGGGGCTGGGCCCCCCTACATCATCATAAAATAAAATAGGGACTCTATATAATCTACATATGACCTCTCACATGATCTCCACGTGACTCTCCACAGGGGAAGGAGTTCCCAGTCCCCGAGGGGGCCAGGCCCCCCATATGAATTTCAATCGGACAACTCTACGTGTAGTTGATTAAGAAGATTGAATATTATTCATGCATTAAGAAGCTTCCTTCGCCCATAATACATGGAGAGCTGTGCCCCTGTTTATGTATCATATCCAGAGGGGGCTTGGCCCCCCCTACATTTAATAACGGATCATGGGTTAAAACTAGGCAGAATAATAAAGACTTTAGTTCAATCGCGGAAGCACTCGTTCATGTTGAAAAAAGTATCTATTTAATGTGATTAAAAACGAGCTACATGAATGAATCCATTCATTTTCTTCAAATAAAATTCATCAAACGTAAAAAAAAAATTTTTTTCTTGTTCAACACATCTGAAACAACGGCACAACATCGTAATTAATGAACTATTTTTCTTCCCAAAAACCAAAAAAACTCGTCAACAATTCCGAGTACAATTAACAACACCGAATTCGTCTCAAATTGGCAAAGTCAATTCTCTCATAAATATCCCCTTACGACGTATTCCCCAGGACTGCTAGTGACTTTGAAAGAGCCGTTGTTGCAACTTCCGCGACAACTAATACTCCACCAAGAATTTTCTCAAACAGCGTAACAATTCCCCTGGCAATTTATCACCGCATTTCACTATCGCGAGTAATAATCGAGATGAATGTGGAATGAACAAATCACCCCTGGACACGTAAAATTTACGATGCTTGGCACTCTAATGTCATTCCGTCTTACTGTGGACTCGGCAGCTTCTATTTTCAATCTGACGTTTGATGTTTATCGTAACAACGAGAATACAGAGACGCGTCGAAATACAACGAGACAATTTATTGTGTCTGTCTGACCTGCATCTACTCACTCCACTTATCGAGTGGATTTCCCACCAAAGTGGAGACCTAATATCGTCAGTTGATGCTCAACAAGTCAATACTTGTGAAGTGGTAATTGTCACTTCACTTTGGAAATATCTTGTACAGAGGATCAACAAGTATTCAAATACTACGCAGACGCAGGGGAATCGCAGAATAAAATAAAAATAGAATTCTCAACTTCACAAACTTCACGCAATTAACAATTTTTCGTAATCTGAATAGAAATTAGGGGAAATTTGAATCGACTTTATAAGAAGAACACCCGTTTTGCCCCACTACTTACAAAAATGCAGATAAAAAACTTTTTAGTCTACGAAAGTAATTTTTTATGTCAAAAATTGGACTTTTCGTTCATTTTTAGTTTTTTTTTGTGAAAATTAATTTTTTATGAGCGACATGTCTACGAAGAAATGAGGGATTACGAATATAAATTAATTTGCAAATTCTGACAAGATTTTTATCATTTTGTTGCAATCGGGGATATTTCACTCACGTTGACATGCAAAGATTCGCATGTCGTTTGTGATTTAATACCCAATAAATACGAGTGAATAATAATTTAAAGGAAACATAAATAACTTCGATGAGGATTAATAATGTTTCATGTGTAGGTGTACTGACCAATAGAACGGTTAATCCTAGGGGAAAACTGATGTCTCTGAGTGTTGAAAAACCGTTGGAACTAATCACATCGGGTCAACGCACGATCGCATACTGACCGAGGTTGTCGGAGACTGGGGAGCTCTCGCCGCAAGCTCCAATAGCGTATAAAAGAGGAGGGTGGCCGCGTTTGAGCCGCCGACGCAGACACGAGAGGCTTGTAAAGCATACTAATGCTTCGTTCAGAGGTTTTTTTCACTAATGCGAGAGCGCGTGACTGCGAGGAGGAGAGAAAAGGGTTGTGCGAGATAGGTGATTACGGATTTAGGATTGTTCAGTTCGTATTAATTTCGTGGGATTATATTGTTATGTACTAGACTCAGTAATTACATTTTTATTGAATACTGAATGATCATTGTTAATTGGTTGTTATTTATCTTCATTTTTTATCGAATTGTTTTTTATCGATTCTTTGAATAGATTAATTATTTATTCGTGTTGTAACTTTATACTGGAAATGATTTGAATTTTTGAAAATTCAGTAAAATTTATTTAAATAAAAAATGCGTTTATTCTGTGGGTTTATTAAGTTTATTTGAATTTAGGATATCCAAGTCCTTTGGCTACTTTTTCTCCAGTGAAATATTTTTCTACTTTTGTAGTCGAACCTCAGAGCTTTCATTTGAACCCCATTTGATCCTAAGTTTCCGGACGTTTTACAATGATTTTATTGTTTAAACTTTGCAGGGCTGAATTTGAATCTCGATATTAAACCGTTAGAAAACATTTAAAAAATCTGAAAAACAGTAAAAAGTTTTCTTTTGGAGAAAGATTGATTGTATAATAAAAAAAATTGCAATTTTTTAAAACTACGAGCATTTTCTATAATTAATTTATAAACAATCAATTGTTCGCCGTAAAAATCATTTGTTCAGAATCGTAACAAATTTATTCAGACTCAGAATTTTTCTTGAAGTCGATTTCGTGCCTAAAAAAATTAGATTTCCAAAAATTTAAACAATTACAATTATTTATTTATTTATATACAACGAATTTTTAAGGAAATAATAATTCTGTGCAAAGTGTAATTTGAATGACGCTGAATATTTATGATGTTTTTTCAATTTTTCTCTCGCGAATTTAATCGACAAATTTCCTGGACGATTCAAGATGGAAAATCGAGTTTAAAAAATTCTAGGATTGAAAATACTGTCAAGCGTCATTTTGTTTCATCACAATTCTCTATTTTGACAATCAAACTATTATTGAATTACTTAAATAATGCATCAGGCATCTCATACAATTAAAACATTCCCATTGCAACCAAAATTAAATTCAGTCGCGAAGTGGTAATCCGGTTCAAGTCGATTTTGACAATTGGCCAGTTCTCAATGAATATCTCAGGATCTACGGTATCAACAAAATTTTTGTTGTAACCTTTTTTGTAGAGCGGATTAAGATCTACAACAAAAGTAGTAACAAAAATTTTGCTATCTCTCTTAGATTCGGAAATATTCCTCAAAAACTCAACTGGAAAATGAATCGACTTAAACCGTTTTACCACTTCGCCACTGAATTATTAATTTGCAAAAAAAAATTAGTTCACATTAAATAACACCATCTTAAAATCAAGAGTCCTTCAATTCCCCGTGAAAATTCCCTGCAGAAATTTCCTTAATGGCGCTGCAGCACTGCAAACCCAAGAAAATAATCATAAATAAATAAACACATGTTAAAGGTCATCACCCTTCGCAAAGGCCATGCGTGTCCGCGAACATATCACCAGTGTAAAGACACATCCTCAATGTCCAGTACGAGCCGTTGACCGTGAGTCGCCCGAGGTCATTATCCCGATGACATCTCCCAGAATGGATCGATCTCGCGCATCGATTCGAACCCTGACAACGAAAAATGAGGACTCGCGGGTCCGAATGTAGCTGGGGTGAGCCCCCCATGATTCCCCCGATTGTCGTTATGGTAACAAAACCCGATCGAATTCACGGAGTTGTTCGTCCACCTTAGGGTTCACCCTCGTCTCGAGGGGTAGACCGTCAGCGACCGTCGTTAAGAGCACGTTACGAACAATCGCACGAGTTGACGATGTAATTCCAGTGATATTTTGTGTGGCACGTGGGTAGAATGTACAGTGCAACAGTGCTTTTTCGCGAGGAAATTTAATCAAGTCCGAGGGAAATTCAATTTGGAGTTGTAAGTACACATCCTGAGATAAAACTCTCCTTTTGACGTTTTTGTATTATTTTCGGCAAGAACAGGAAAATTAATAATCCCGTGTGAATATTTGAATTACTAAAAATAGATGAATTGTTTATTTATTTCGAATGGACATTGAGTTTATTTTTTACTCATGAAGTTTTTATTTGGGTTGAAACATTTGTTTATATTTGAATGAATAGATTTTATTCAGTTCAAATAAATCCGCTTATTTAAAATTTTTCCATCAATTTGGACAATATTCTTGTTTAAAATGAATAGACTCGCATGAATATTTGCATTGTACAAAATAAATAAATCATTTATTCATTTCGAATCGACATCGATTTTATTTTTAACTCGTGAAATCTTTATTTGGGTCAAAGAATCACTTGTGCACCCGGAGAAATTATTTATTTCAATCAGATAAAACTCTTCAGTTGAATTTTTTTCTTATTCCGACAACATTTTTGTGGAAAATTAATAATCTCATATAAATGTTTTAATTATGGACAATAAATAATTGAAAAGAAATCATTAATTAATTAATTCATTAATTAAATAATTAATTCATTCGAAATAATGAACGATTTCACGTTTAATTAATAAAATAGTTATTCCGATCAAAAAAACGTTTGTTTATATTTGAAAAACGACACATTTGACGTGAATAAAAGCGCAAATAAAAATCAAGTTTAAGTTTAAATAAAATTAATTTTGGGAGGCATTTAAAGGAATAAATTTTACTCAATTGAAGTAAAACTACTTATTTTAAATTTTTCTTTTTTATTTCGACAACATTTTTGTGGGAAATTAATAATCTCATAAATATTTCAAATACATAAAATAATTAATTCATTCATTCCAAATAAATCCTCTATTAGAATAAAAATAAACGATTTATTTGATGCGCATAAAATTGGAAACAAAAATTGAATTCAAGAATGAACAGCGGTTTCACGCCAATTTATTTTACTCAACAGTCCACTTCTCTGGCGGCGGAAAATTCCCTTTCCATTAGCAATTATGTACTAATTAACATTCTGTGTAATTTCGCATTTCTCTCTCGAGAATCTCATGTTTACATTTTACCTCTCGAGTTCTTTCAATGGCCCTTTCCCATCCGAATCCCAACGTAATTCCATTGTGGGGTAATTAACTAACATGACGGGACGAGTGTCACTGGTGGAACAGAAGAGACTGCAGTGGGCCAAAGAGAGAGGTAAATATTTCTCTTGTCTATGTTCAATTAAATAGAATCAGCGCAAAAGGTCAGCCCTGGAAACCGAATGAAAATAAAGTACAAAGTTGCCTAGAATTTCCTCAATACTCTACACTTGGTTACTTTTTTACTAGAGGAAATGGCAAGGTTGAGTGCTCACTGGGAATCCACGAAAAATTCAACACCCGCTCGCACAACTATTCGGTAACTATTCAGTTGTCATAAAAATTCATAAAACAAAAACTTTTGTGTTTAATTGAAAAAATCAAGTGTGTTTTTAAGAGCAACCCATTTGGCCCCAGCAATACATTCACTTTTAATGAATATTTTCTTTTATTTTTGGTGAATTAGAACCTTTTTTATCTTTAATAATGAAATTTGTTAAATTAATTTGTGGATTTTTCACAAAAAATCAACTTTGTAAAATTTTTTCATTTTTTTTAAAATTTTTTCTGACGATTCAAAAGTACTTTCAGACTAAAAAAATTCTGAAGACAACTTTAAACGTGATAAAAGTATAAATAAACTGTAATGTTTAATAATTTTCAAATATTAAAAAGGATTTTTTAGTAGAGACCATGACGACATGAGACAATGACGACATTTTCATTATAATTATAAAAAATCCTTTTCAATATTTGAAAACAATGTCATTTCATTCCATTCAAATTTTATCATCGAAATGTTGAATAATAATAATACTAATAATAATAATGTAATAACTATCATTATTATCACAACGATAATGATGATTATAATAAAAAATAATGAAGAGAATTTTAAGAAAAAATTGTCAAGACATGACTATAAATATAACAGAGAGAAAAAAGTTTTGATTTTCAAGGATTTATCATCAATTATTAATGATAATCCACACTGACCAGAATGACCCTGATCATAAGTGAGTTTCATCACTGAAATTTAGTGATAGATTCCCAAAAATTAGAGATGGTCCCTGAAAATTAATGACGATGTCACAGGTAAAAGTCATAATGTTGCCGAAAAATGGTGACAAGATCACTGAATTTCAGACATTAACACTCACAAAATCATCTAATCGCGAATGCCCAATAAATTCCTGAAGGATAAATTCCTGAAAATCCGTGACATATCCCAGAAAATCAAAATATTTTTTTCTCTGCGAATAATTAAGTTCAAAATTCGAAATTGCAAAAATAAGTTCCTCTCCATCATCCTATCATGCAGCACACGACTCTCATCACGGGAGTCAGGAGTCACCCGCAAGCCGCTGCGAGCGAGTGGTCACTATGGCAGTACAGCGAGCCTCCGTGCATTAGAGACAGGTTCAACGAGCCTTCAAAGTTTAGACTTTTCAACTGGCGGGAGTATGATCAATATTCTCGAGCGCGCCGAATTACAGGGGCCACTGCGAAAGAGAAGTCCCAGCCTACCCCCGATCTACACGAAGGAGCCCCAGCCCCATCACCCAGTGTATTCCACTCAGGTACAACTCAAAATGTACAAAACATGGATCGACATCAATGATTAGTTTCTGTAATATTTTCGTTGAAATTTAAAAATTATTAAAATTATTATTTTTATTATTATTTAAAATTATTATAAGTATTTAAATTAGGTTTCTGTAATATTTTCTTTGAAATTTAAAAATTATGAGATAATTGATAATTTAAATTTTCTATTGACTATGAATTAAATAATTGAAAAGATGAAATTATGAATTGACTGTTGAGCAAATATATCTAAATTTCATAAAAGGGATTTTCAATTAGCCAAATAATCGTCAGGTCTTCGAACTCAATTCTCTCTACATTATAAAAATCCAAACCGACTTCTGGTGATGAAAATTTGGTACTCGAAATTAAGACTTTGAAATTATGGATCCCAAGGGTCAAAATAAGAATCAGATTAAGGATCACAGGGATAAGGATAAAGATCACAAGGGTCAGATTAAGGGTCATGAGAGTTAAAATAGGGGTCACGAGCGTCAAAATAAGGATAATGACGGTCAGATCGAGGTTCACGAGGCTCAGATTAAACTCTCAAGGTCACAAAATTGATGCTCACAAGGGTCGGATTAAAGGTCCAAATAAGGGTAACAAGGGTCAGGTTAAGGGCTACACGATTAAAACTCACAAAGGTAAGACTAAGGGTCATGAGGGTTAGATTAAGAAGTCGCAAGGGTCGGATTAAAGGTCCAAATAAGGATAACAAGGGTCAGGTTAAGGGCCTAAATAAGGGTCGCAAGAATAAGACTCACAAGGGTTCTATTAAAGATCCAAATAAGAGTAACAAGGGTCAGGTTAAAGGTCACGAGATTAAAACTCACAAAGGTCAGACTAAGAGGTCCCAAGAGTCGGATTAAACGTCCAAATAAGGGTCGCAATGATGAGATTAAGGTTCACGAGGGTCAGATTAAGGGTCACAAGGGTAAGAACAAGGATCATGGGGGTCGAGTATTATGGGAACGAGCAGGGGGCGTAGCTTGATAAAATAATTCGGAATTCGAATAGCTAATTAATGATTAATTTAATAATTAAAAATTGATAAGTACTATTAACAATAGACTTCTTCACCATCTAATTTTACTCAAAATCTATGATTCTGTCGCTGTCTGGTATAAAGAAATAATGAAGACAGGAGTGAAATTGAGAAGAACGCCAATACAATAACTCCTGAGTAAATCCCTGAATTTCTCACAGTTCTTGGAAAGTCACCCCCTGAGACGGACTGGTCTCACGCACATCGGCACACATTGGCACAAAATATCGATTTGAAACGGTTCAACGAACCCCGCGATACGAAGTCGGGAGTAACTTCTTATGTCGGGGGCTTTTCAACAGAAGAGAGATCGTTATGCCGTGAAGCACAGTGGAAATACACCCTCGGTTGGGCTGTACACACGTGAGACACGCAAAGCCGGGTGGAAGGGACTCGTACCACTTCGTTCCGTCGCGGAATTCACTTTTCATGATGACCCAGATGGAATAGATGATCATTACATTCATTTATTCATGGTACTCGGGGGGGGGGGGGGAATTTTCAGGGAGGGAGTGAGGGTTGCGGGCCGTTTTATCGGTTCAAATCATATTTATTTATTTAATAGTTCCGTTATTATTAGACGCGTATAAAATTCAGGGGCATTTTCTCATTTGTTTCATGATTTTTTTAGAAGTATTTTTATTATGTTGGATTTTATCTAAATGGGGTTTAATTGCAAAAGGAGATTATTTCCTGCATTTGACGATTTCTTTGACGTTTTCCAGACATTTTTGTTGGGATTCACCCCTAAAATAAACTAAATAATAATGACTGATTGTAGTAATAATACTCATATTTTTATCTTTAATTTACTATTTTGTAATAAAATTTTGTAATTAAGAAGAATATCTTATTTTTCACTTGATTTTTTTTTTCACTGGAAGTTCGGGTTATTTATTAACATTTTACATCGTTTACAAGTATTGTCGCTTTATGAAAAAGTTATTTGTGCTTGTCACCTCATGTTTTATTTAATGAATCGTGTCTCAAGGAAAGAATCACGATTTTCCAAATTTGACAATTCAGGGGGAGTGGTTTCGAGATTTTAGATGTGTTAAAAGGTTCGTAATTTATCAAAAAATATTTGCGATTGTTATCTGATGATTTATTAATATAAGGGCGGGGAACTGGCACATGATAGATTCAGGGATTTCCGGGAACGTATCGACGCAAGCTAGGCTTCGTGAGTGTGACTGATAGAAATAACCTGTGTCAACCCCTCCGTGGGGTGAACGGCCTTGAGTAAAAATACAACAATAATAGTCATAATAATAAATCCTTCAAGTAGTTATATTATATCATGATTATATGTAAACTCAAAGTATGATTGTTTCGGGGTGTTGTTTTTTGAAGAATTATTTATAATAACAATTTGATAATTATCATGAATAATTCTAGAATATAAATTGGTAAATCAATTGTTTATTTTCTAATTGATAACACGAGTGGGTTCCCATGGACAAAAACTAATGCTTTTCTCCATGCGATGGTTGAAAGATATTTTCAAAAATGTTACATTAGTTGTAAATTATTATTTCAGAATTTAATTTCAGGAATGGGGTTTCGTAGGGAGAAATGAAAATTTTCCGGACAAATCAGTTCTCTCAATCTCCTTAAGAACCCATCCAATAACTATAATAACCCTTTATAATATTACTTTCGTAAGAAATGTCATATCCCACATGAAATAGAATGAATAAAAAAACTTGGCTAGTGAGTGAACTCTGGTCACGCTATACTGTGAGCAAGGGGTGGAAACATTGAATAAAAAATGTGACAATAATTATTATTCTTTCAGGAGTTTCTCTCAGACAAAAATAGTATTTCCTCCTTATGACTATTTCAGAGTATTTGTTTGGCATTTCACAATAGTTCAAAATTTTTTTAGGGAAAAATTTCTAAAGATTTCCTTATTTGATGGTTCGAAGAAATTCTTAAAAAATTTCGCATTGATTATTTCCCTTTTATTCATTACAAAATCATTTGCCATTATTGTTTCATATTTTATTTCATGAATGGAATTTCATAGGAAGAAATGAAAACTTTCTGGACAAATCAGTCCTCTCAATCTCCTTAATAATCCATTCAATAATTATAATAACTTTTTATAATGTTACTTTCGTAAAAAACATGTCATATTTCGTTTTAAACAACGGGCGAAAATATTAAATAGAAAATATTAGAATTTTTTGTTTCATTCGTTTGTTGGCTTTTTACAACAATTAAAAACTGATTTGTTCAGACGCCCTCATTTAATAATTCGAGGACATTTTTAAAAAATTCTCATCAGTTATTTTACTTTTCATTCGTGAAAAAAAAATTACCATTATTGTTTCATATTTTATTTGACGAATGGGGGGTTTCATAGGAAGAAATAAAATTTTTCCGGATAAATCAGTCCTCGCAATCTTCTCAATAATCCATTCAATAATTATAATAACCCTTTATAATATTACTTTCTTAAAAAATATGTCATATTCCGTTTTAAACAACGGGCGAAAATATTGAATAGAAAATATTAAATTTTTGTTTTCATTAGTTTTTTGGCTTTACCCAACAATTAAAAACTTACTTATTTAAATGTCCTCATTTAATAAATCGAGGACATTTTTAAAAAATTCCCATCCGTTATTTTACTATTCATTCTTGAAAAAAAAATTACCATTATTGTTTCATATTTTATTTGACGAATGGGGGGTTTCATAGGAAGAAATCAAAATTTCCCGGATAAATCAGTCGTCTTAATCTGCATCTAACACCTGTAATAATCCTTTATAATGTTATTTCGCACAAAGTGTAACGAATAAAAACGCCTGGCTGGAGTCTCACGCGATGCCGTAATTACCCGAGTTGATACCTGAAAATGTGCTCCACAGGAACTTCCAGGCTTAGAAGTGGAGGGTTCACGCTACGCGAATTATCCCCGTCAGAAGCATCCCCCGGTTGAGTCAGAGCGGAACCCTCTGCAGGGTAGTACGTACGAGGAGCGAGAGGGCGAGACGTCCGGATACGCGAGTGACTCGATTGAACCACCCCGGGGCTGCCACATGACTGATGGCAAGAGTATGTCTATCATTTTCCAACCCCCACAGAGTAAACTAGACGGATGACTCCGGGAATCCCCGAAAACTATTGATTTATTGCAGGATTACTACCGCTCGATAAATCCCTGGTGGATAACCAGGCGTCCGGGAGACTCTGGCCAAATCCTTACAGCGAGACGTCAGATGGATCTCTGCCGTCGTCGAGGCGCTTCTCGACGACACGTCTCAACGAACTCAATCGACCGAGATGGGAGAGCGTCTGGAATCGGGATAATCATCATCCCGATCCACCACCCCCGTCTTGGCTCGAACGGGGACTGTCACGAATGGACCATTCGAGTCAGGTGAACAATTTGCGCTTTTCGAATGGCAGCTATGTAATCCTTCAATTTAGGGGTCTATGACTAGGGATGTGAAATGACCGACATTTTTCAATTCGGTCAGGTCACGCAAAATTGACCGTTTTCTGACCATTTTCTGACACCGAGATAATTCCCCATGCAAAATGACCGTCATAAACAACCAGCGTCAAAAATTCGAGAAAATGACCAAAATTCCTCTATATAGATGCAAATTGATGGTCATTTTATTTTTGGCAATTTTTTCGGTCAAATTTTTTGTTATTTTATTTCATTAGTTAGGAATTGAATCGCATTTCATAATTCAAAGTTAATGTTTATTGGAACGAATTACAAAAGAATCGTAAATACGATACNGTGCCTCGTGCGCCTGTACTCCACCAGCGTTGAATTCAGCACTTCTCCGCCTTAGCACGTAATATACTATTTCGTCACTAGGCCCGATAAACCGCGATTATCGGCCCTAATGACAAAAAATATTGTTCGACACACGGTCGTGGGAACTTTTCTACCTCATATGATTACAGAANCTTAGAAGTGGAGGGTTCACGCTACGCGAATTATCCCCGTCAGAAGCATCCCCCGGTTGAGTCAGAGCGGAACCCTCTGCAGGGTAGTACGTACGAGGAGCGAGAGGGCGAGACGTCCGGATACGCGAGTGACTCGATTGAACCACCCCGGGGCTGCCACATGACTGATGGCAAGAGTATGTCTATCATTTTCCAACCCCCACAGAGTAAACTAGACGGATGACTCCGGGAATCCCCGAAAACTATTGATTTATTGCAGGATTACTACCGCTCGATAAATCCCTGGTGGATAACCAGGCGTCCGGGAGACTCTGGCCAAATCCTTACAGCGAGACGTCAGATGGATCTCTGCCGTCGTCGAGGCGCTTCTCGACGACACGTCTCAACGAACTCAATCGACCGAGATGGGAGAGCGTCTGGAATCGGGATAATCATCATCCCGATCCACCACCCCCGTCTTGGCTCGAACGGGGACTGTCACGAATGGACCATTCGAGTCAGGTGAACAATTTGCGCTTTTCGAATGGCAGCTATGTAATCCTTCAATTTAGGGGTCTATGACTAGGGATGTGAAATGACCGACATTTTTCAATTCGGTCAGGTCACGCAAAATTGACCGTTTTCTGACCATTTTCTGACACCGAGATAATTCCCCATGCAAAATGACCGTCATAAACAACCAGCGTCAAAAATTCGAGAAAATGACCAAAATTCCTCTATATAGATGCAAATTGATGGTCATTTTATTTTTGGCAATTTTTTCGGTCAAATTTTTTGTTATTTTATTTCATTAGTTAGGAATTGAATCGCATTTCATAATTCAAAGTTAATGTTTATTGGAACGAATTACAAAAGAATCGTAAATACGATACTCGATATCACTCATGATAAACTCATGAACTTAATCAACGTTAATAAAATTAATTAAATATATATCTCTGTATTATTATGTTTTTGGTCAAAAACTTCATATTAAATTAGGAGGATGCTGGATGAGGCTCGTCTTCAGTCCTTCTAACGAATTTAGTTATCTAGTGTCGCATAGACCCCTAGTGGCGACGTAGGGTCCCTATGACCGCCAGTAACCTTGCCGACACCGAGTAACCGAATAAAAATTTCTGTGTCATCTATATAGATGAGAATTGACAGTCAGAATTGAATTGGTCATTTTTTGAATTCCTGACCGAATCGTCAAATTTATGGACATAGTAATTACCCGTCATGACCGCGGTAATTGGCCGTCATTTGACCGGTCATTTTTGTCACTCACATCCCTATCTATGACTTGTGCATAAAATTAAATTTGACACAGAAAAAATGATTTCTGTGATACTCGGCTGAAATNCGATAAACCGCGATTATCGGCCCTAATGACAAAAAATATTGTTCGACACACGGTCGTGGGAACTTTTCTACCTCATATGATTACAGAACTCACCTTCGGCTCGTCCTGTAACCTCATATTCGCCAGAAAAGTTCCTCACGGCCTAGTGTCGAAATGTATTATTTCGAAACCGTTTAGTGTGCGTAAAGTTCAGAGATCGTGCGGAAAGTAAATTTTAAAAGTAAATTAAATTTATACATTTAGCATTTAGCATTTAGTTCAAGTATTTTATTTTATTCAGCATTTAGTTCAAGGTCTCCATGAAAGTGAATAGAAATCAAGACAAATTTGGATACATATATTCTTAAGTTCTGAATTAATCGAAAATTCAACAAATTGCTGTCGAATGAAATTGAAAACTCTTCTCTGAATTTTAATCAATCAGTTCTTAAATTCCCTCAAGTAGTTGACAAAACGCTTTTACGGACTCGTATCGGAGTATCCACATTAATTAAAATTTCATTCACATATCGTGACGGGTCACATATCAATTTTTAGAATTTTCAATTTTTTTCAAAAATCGGTTGTTCCGGGATAACTAAAATACTGTTCTGAATTCAGTTAAGAAGATGAAGGCTATAGTAATAATCGTTGTTTTGATTTATAGAATAATTGTCAAAATTTTGATTTTTTTTTCTAAAATTTCCCTGAAAGTGAATTTTCCGAAAATTTCCTCAAATATAATGTTTCAAGTTGATTCAATTATGCCAGAAAAAAAAGTGTTTTCAAAACAACAATTCTTTCATTCGATTTATACAAGGATTTCACAAAAAATATAATTAAATAGCGTTAAAATTTCCCCCATTATTTTCCAACATACATTTAAAAGCCATTTCATTAGCTAAAATTAATACTCTGTTGTATCTTGAAGCCCACAATGCAAAAAAAGATCATTACGATCACTACATCTGTTGTTTTGATATTTATGAATTTCGAATTTTTTAAAAAATTCCCTGAAAGTGAATTTTTCGTAAATTTCCTTAAATATAATGTTCCAAATTGATTCAATTATGCCTGAGAAAACTGTCTTCAAACCCACAATTCTTTCCTTCGATTTTTCCAAGAATTTCACAAAAAAATCTAATTAAATAAAAAAGCATTAAAATTTTCCCCATCAATCCCAAAATACAATTGAAAACCACTTCATTAGCTAAAATTAATACTCTGTTGTGCCTTGAAACCCACAACGCAGAAACCCGTTCCCCTTTCATCTACAGCCTCTCCCTCCCCTCCTCTCCCTACACTCAGCACTCAAAAATATATAAATGCTCTTCTCCACCTATTTTCCTAATCCCTCACTCATCGGGACGAAATTCCGTAGATTCTGGTAATAAATCACGATAGCGCAAGCAGCCCAGACAGCTCAACGACAGGCTCCACAGGGTCTGACTCAAAGACGTACCTCCGAGGTCAAAACATACCCGTCGATGCGCACATACTCCAAGAGCGCGAGGCAAAAAGGCAGAAGGCATTAGAGCTCCAGAATGCAATAAAACAGCAGTTGGAGGAGAAGGACAGAAAGCGTCGAGAGGAACGAGAGCAAAAATTACGGGAGGAGCGCGAAGAGGAGGAGCGAATAAAGCGAGAGAGGAACAAAGAGAAGGAGAGGTGACTACTCCAAAGTCTGTAATTATACGCCTGAAATTACGACACTTTTGGCCCCTTTTTTACGGCGGTTGTGAACCCAAATTTACGTACTTTATAGCCTCTCACATTAAGACATTAAGACATGCAGGCTAGACATTCTAGGCGTCTTACTCGAGGATCTTTCGTTTCAGCTTGTGATGCCCCATTTGCATTTCCAAATACTTCATTCATTGTTTACGCCTGTAATGAAATTTTTGGAGGAAAGAAATATTTCAAGAAGAAGACGATTTTTTAATTTTATGAATTTTAATTTTTAATTCCGTGATTTTATGAATTTTATGACTAACGAGAATTCCTAATTTCCTAATTTCCCTAGATGGCTATTGTCTTGAATTAAAATGTCTTAAAGACACCAACTTTTACAGCAGGTTGTGGGTACGAGAAATACTTCAAGAAAAAAATAATTTCATAATTCCAGTAAATTTTCCCGGGTCAACGGAGAAAAATTTATCATTTGTCTTGCACTTTTTCCCCAATATAAAGTGAAAAAGTACTGAAAATCGAGTTCACTGCACGATAATTTCACTCTTTCGGTAATTTTTCTGTAAATTTCTTCTCCGTGGAGATGTCGAATATCGAATACTGATTAATTGTTATTCATCTTTATTATTTTTTATGAAATGGTTTTTTAATCGATTCTTTTAATTGATTAACTATCTACTCATATTATAACTCAACATGACAAATTATTTATTTTTTTGCGAATTCAATAAAAAAATTTCGAATAAAAAAATTAAAATTGGAATGAAAAAATGCGTTTTTATTTCCATCGAATAAACAATTTTTCAATGTGGAAAAAAGTTTATTTGAATTGAAAATATTCGAGGATTTGCAGGTCTGAATTTGTATCTCAATATTAAATTGTTAGAAAACATTTTAAAAATCTGAAAAAAATTACAAAGTTTACTTTTGGGTAAAGATTGATGAAATAATTTAAAACTTGAAACGTTTTCAAATTACGAGCATTTTCTATAAATAATTTGTCTTGTATTCTAGTTTTTGGGCTCTGAAGTCATTAGCTAATTCGAAGTGAAGAAATCTATTATGTCCAAATGATAAATGAGCTAATGACCAAAAACTAAAATACACGTTGAAAATTCGGTCGAAATCCTCTCCACAACATAAATAATTTATAAACAATCCATTTTTAGCATAAAAATCATTTGTTCGGAATCGTAAAAAAATTATTCATATTCAAAATTTTACCAGAAATCGATTTCATGCCTAAAAAAATTAAGTTTCCAAAAGTTTAAATAATTTCAATTATTTATTTATAACAACGAATGTTCAAAAAAATGATAATTCTGTGCAAAATGCAATTTGAATGACGCTAAATATTAATGATTATGGTCAAATTTTTTCACGCAATTTAATTGACAACTTCGATGATTGGAAATGGTTGAATCTACAGCGGGGTCTGTACCAAACGTAAAATACTAAGTACTTCGGCTATTTTTTCTCCAGTAAAACACTTCTCTACTTTTGTAAAATAAAATCATTGTAAAATGGCATTTCATCGACATGTTACAATGAATTTATTATTTAAATTTTGCAGGTCTGAATTTGAATCTCGATATTGACCCGTTAGAAAACATTTTAAAAATCTGAAAAAAATTAGAAAGTTTACTTTTGGGTACAGATTGATGAGATAATTAAAAAATTGAAACTTTTTCAAATTACGGGCATTCTTAATACATAATTAACAAAAAATGAATTTTTCACCATAAAAATCATTTGTTCGGAATCATAACAAATTTATTCATACTCAAAATTTTGCTAGAAATCGATTTCAGGCCTAAAAAAAAGTCTTCCAAAAGTTTAAACAATTACAATTCTTTATTTACAAACAACGAATGTTAAAAAAAAATCTATGCAAAACGTAATTCGAATGGCACTAAATATTCCCGATTTTTTTCAACTTTTTCTCACGCAATTGAATTGTCAAATTTGATGATTAAAAATGATCTGTACCAAACTAAAAGATACTTGGCTATCCTTAAACAGCCTTGAAGCCCCTAACGTTTACAGTGACGAACGGCTCATTTCAGATTCGAGGAGGAACAGAGACGCCTGAAGGACAAAGAAGACGCTAAACTGAAGAAAGAAGTGGCCATGCGGGAGATCCTCGAGACTGCCGAGAGAATAGCCAGAGAGGAGAAGCGTCAGAAACGTCAACGGGACGATAGCAGTGACGTTGGACGGTTCAATGCCCCTGAAACTAGAGAAACTATAAATACAAATGAACTTTCAACATCAAACCAACAAATAGCGCAATCCGAGACCAATGTCTGCGTGGAGAACCCCTCGGGGGAATCGGCTAACGAAGAAAAGGCGGCGGAGAAGAGCGAGAAAATTGGTGAAGAGATTAAGGAGAGTCACCTTCGCCTGCCAGTGAACAAGGAAGTGGCCATTGTGCTGACTGGGCGGCTCGAGGACTCGGAGTTTCTGAGTGGCTCGAACCTCCAACTGCTCAATCTCATCGTCAATTCAACTCCGCGGGAGACGAACCACTCCGGAGGGCTTAAAGCGGGCATTAGCGCCATCGTGAAGACTCTGGGAAGTCCCAAGTTGGAGAAGAGCGAGATGGGCACCATGTGCTCACCGAGGTTCAGGGAGAACAGGCTGTTGACCCCTAGCAAGTATAGGGGACTCTCGGGGAGGGATTTTGGGACGCAGACGGACGGGGAGAACGAGGGGGAGGGCGAGGGGAAGGACGGATGCAAGGAGAGGAAGGAAGTTCTTAACAGCAGGAGAGATATTGACAAGTAATTGGAAGTCCATTTTTACGAGGAAATTCAGAAGTTGAGGACTGACGTTTTGGACGTTTGGGAGATTACTGAGGCTCAGGGATAGCCGTATACATAAATGACAGTTGATTACTAATTTTTAGGAGAGTGACATCGAATGCGATTTAGGGGGAAAAATGTTGAAATTTCAGGTTTCACTGAAAATTCAGGAAAATTCCAGAATTTTAAGCAGTATAAAGACGAAAATTTCTCAATTTATTTGAATTTCTAGTCTTATTGAACATTTTGTGGCAAATTACATTGAATTTTCAGTGAAATCTGAAATTTCATGATTTTTTAAAATTCAATATAATTCAATGTAGGGGGAAAATCCCCCTAAATCGCATTCAGTGTCACTGCACAGTGAAAAATCCGGCGTGAATTACATTGAACTACATTGAATCATTCATTTTCAGTGAAATCTGAAATTTCATGATTAAAAAATCATGAACGTTCAGATTTCACAGAAAACTCAATATAATTCAATGTAATTCAATGTAGGGGGGAAAAATCCTCCTCAATCGCATTTAATGTCACTGCATAGTAAAAAATCCGGTGTGGACTTCTTAGGAGACCGTTTGGTGCTGAATTAACACCAGATTTTACATGCGATGGCCTACGGTGCAGTGCAATTTTAACACTGCAACTCCACACTAAAAACGGTGGGGACTCATTGGGACACCGATCGGTGTTACTTTAACACCAAATTTTTTACAGTGTGTCCTGAAAATTCAAAAATATATTTACCGGAATTTTCTGGTGTTCTACTCGTTTTCAGGGAAAAATAGAACTGAAATTGACAGTTCTCTTTGATTTTTCCACGAAATTCTGAATCTTCAGTGTCGAAATTCCCTGAAATTTCAGTGGTAATTAAATTCGATAAAAATCTCCAAAAAGTTTACTGGCAATTTCAGACAAAAATTTTTAACAGCGTATAATTACTGTTAAATTATTAAGTAGTCAATTAGTTAATATCAAATTTAAATTTTCAATTATTGAAGTAATCATCAATTCAAACAGCCAAATTTTGAATTACTCATTAATCAGTAATTAAGTCAGAAAGATTGACGATTATTTGGATAATCGGAAATCCCTTATAAGAAATTTAGTATTATCTACTTTTTAAATATTTTTTAAATATTCCGTTTTCCTCGCGATTTTTTTCCATCAATAGTAAATTCCTTTGCGATGTTTTTTCATTCTCATTTCATCGAATTTGTAGGTCAACCAATACCGGCTCAACCGACGATAAAAACTCTCGATCGAAGTCACAACCGCGAGCTAGTATTGACGCCCGACCCCGGTGGAACGCCAATAGGTGAGTAGATTCATCAACGAGCTCCCAATCCGGTTTTATTGGAGATGAACAAAACCGGTGAGGATTTTCATTGATTTAAAAGTGATTAAAGCTTTGCCCAGGCCCGGAACGCGCTACCGCACGCAAAGCGAGAAGGATCCCCATTATCAGAGGCGATTGAGGTTGAGGAGGCGTCGCGTTGAGTCGAGTGACGAACGATCGAGGTAAAAAAATTCTTTATTGTGGAATTTTCCATTGAATAAAGATTTACGAGGAAATTCCTAAAGTCGGTTTTTCCAATTTTTTAATTATTGCGCATTCATTTTATGCAGAAAACAAATTAACACACCTCCTTTTTTATTATAATTTTTTTAATGATTCTTTTTCCATCATTTTAGAATTTAAACATAATTTCAGGAAAAATCACTGCCGATTAATTTAGCGATAAAAAAAAATTATGATCATGTTCCTCGTCATTCATCCCAGATTTCCCTCTCCAACCAAAAAGTCCACTAGTCAAAAATCAAAACAAGAGAAATCAAATTAATTAACATTCTTTATTTTTATTATCACTATTTCATTATCATACATCATTATAATAAAGTATTGATATATATAACTATATCATTATTTTTATTATCATTTTTTCACTATAAAAAATGCAATGTTTTACTTCAAATTTCGCCATAATTCAACATGAAGAATCGGACAAAATTTTTTTCTTTTTTCAGAAAATATCCCTAGTAAAGAATTTGTCAAATCAATTGAGTGATTGAAAAAAAATTATTATCTCATTCCACCTGATATATTTCAGTTCTCTCTTCAATAAAATATAAATCCGATTGAATAAGGACCTGCGAGGAAATTCCAAAAATAGTTTTTTTCAAATTTTTCCATAATTTTGCATTCATTAAATTCAGAAAACAAATTAATAATCAACACACCTCCATTTTTATTATCATTTTTTAAATCATTCTTTTTCCATAATTTTAGAATTTAACTATAACTTCACGTGAATAATAGAAAAAGTTAAAAATTAAAAATTAAGACAAATCTCAGTTAATTTGTAAAATTAATTTAGCGACGGGAAAAAAGTAATGATCATGTTCACCGTGATACATTCCAGATCGCCCTCCCCAAACCGTCGAAAGTCCACGAATCAAAAATCAAAGCCCCGCAATTCCACCCGAAGAAAGGTAAAATTAGAGCATTACGATGCGGATCTTTCAATGGACAGTTTAAACTCAGTCGTGCCCCTCCGAATAACCGAGCACGGAAGAATCCAACTTATGGATGATAAAGTTGTAACGAGTGCCGGTGACTCTCGAAACGAAGACGACAAACTGGAACCGACGAGAAAATTGGATCTGTGGTGCGGCGAGCAGATACTCTCCCAACTGACTGCCCTCAGAAATGTAAGAGACTCTCTCAAAAAATACAATACTAAAGCTCCACTATTTACCCCCGAAACAAACGTTTCTATTTACATGATAAACATTTACACGATGTTCCAGGGTCTGTTATTCAAGCAACAGGAGTGGGACACGGAGCGATGCTTAGTATCTCCGAACACTGACTATTATTAACCGGCGGGATATTATTACAAAGATTTTTCCGAACTTTACATTTTTTACAATTGAATAATTCCCATTGCTGATTTTTAATGAGAGGACTCGAGGGGATATTTAGACATAATTAACGAGAGAACAGAGAACTCGGGGGAAAATAAAAATAGAGAGGAAGTTAGCTGGATTTTCTCAATTTTCCAGAGCAGATTAACTCGATATAATGGCTTTTCAACTGGACGATTTACTGAGGGACGACAAGAGGGACGGTAATTTAATTCCCGACTTGAGTAAAGCTACGTGTAATTCACAGGATGAATTCCGTCGGCTACGTGAACGCTGTCCCGAGTACAAGATTAAACCGGAGAAGGTGCATCTTCTTCACTTGTTTTTTTATTTTCGTTTCTCCAACAATTTTTTAAATCTTGAACATCATTCACAGTGGGGGAGAGTGGGGCAAAGTGAAACAGTCCAAAAACGATTGCTTGACGCAATTCAAGCAAAACAAAATTTTTGTTATAAATTTTTTTTTTATCAACTTTTTTTTATTTCTGGGAGCATTGATGAGAAAAAATTTTTTTTTGCTTGAGTTGTGTCAGAGTCGTTTTTTGACTGTTTCATTTTGCCCCACTCTCCGTAGTTATAAAAAAAACAGGTAGAAATCCTCATCAAATTATCAATTGAAGAAAAAATTATTAATTCAATATGAATTAATTATCCTGTACTAAGAAATAGGCGAAACATATGCGAGACTTGAGAATATTTCAAGTTTACGTTACCTTAAGAATAAAAAATAGTTATTTATACATAATATAAATTCATATAATATAAATATAAAAATATATAATATAAAATGCATAAAATTAAGATAATGTTATTAATAAGAATAATAAAGTTTACGTATTATATACATAATATGCTAATATTTTAAACATTTTATATATAAATAAGTATTTTTTACTCATAAACTAAGATAAACTTGAAATATTTCTAACTCTAGCATAGGCTTAGCGAAATAGATAGCTGACCAAAAATATTTCACCCATTTTTAATAGAGGATTGACATGAAAATTGGGAGACAGTTCTTTGCAAAAGACGAACACTTGCACCTGATTTCATAAAAAACGTGAATTTTTTGTCCTAAAAATTTTTAAATTCCATCTTCTCAAAATTTTTCTCAAATCTGAACACAATTATAGTGGAGATCAACTTCTTTTTAATGAAAAAATGAATAGATATGATCAAAAATAATATGCAGAAATGAGTAGCCAAAAATATGCCACCTTTCCTAGTAAATTACATGAAAAAAAAAAGGAAATTATTTCGTTTTTTATTCTCATGTGGAACGAGGGTTCAATCACGATTTGAGGTTTTTCCGCAGCTGAAGAGGGAAGACGCGAAAGTAAGGGATAAGGATTTCTCGTGGCGAACGACGAAGAAAGAGATGAAGATGATGGAGCGGGAGTGGGGGTACGGCGATCCGATTCCACCGGATATGAGGAGCTTGGATCTTCAGGAGCTTCAGAGGGTGGCTATTGATTGGCGAATGTTGACACCGTTGAGGCCGAAGCTGAGAGCTGACGAGGAGATGTTTTCTCGATTGGTAAATGCATTAAAGCGTGCGGATTTTAATCCATTAAGATTGAATTAATCAGAAATTTTCTGATTTTTTTCTTTTTATTTATGTATTAACCTACAATGGGTTATTTACAATCAGTTTGCTGAATATGTTACAAAGGATGTTTGGCTTCGTTGGTTGATTTTCTCTGATACAATTTTCTGAATTGCCTAACAAATTTGGCTTTTGTCTTTTATTTAATGCACGAATTAATGAAAGAATTTTGCGACGAATGAATTTTTAAATATGTTTTTTTCAATTTTATGTGCATTCTCATGTGAATATTTCATCATTTTAATTGTTATATTGAAGGAGCATTCAAACTTTCTCGGAATTTTTTAAACATTGACTGATTTTGAAATGATAAAATCTATTTAAATTTCAATCAATTTTTCATGAAGATAATAACATTATAGTTTTAATTACGAACTTAAATTTTCTAATTCATTTTGGAAAATGTTAGTGACTTAATCATAATTAAGTTAGCAAATGATAACAATTCAAATTTATTGAAGTTGTTATTCAAGTTTTTTCTATTGATAAATAATATCAATTTCAACGATAATAATTTAGTTTTTTAATAATTAATTGAATTATTATTCAGGTTAATGAATAATAATTCAATGTAATAATTTTCCAATGATGAAATAAATCAAAATGCTGTACATAAATTTTTTTTATCCCAGACATATCTCCTCTTGAATAAAGACTTTCAATCTAGGTTGAAATGGGAAAACTTGAGCTAAAGACATTAGCAAAAGACCGTCGCATATCCATCAGTCCAATCCGCCGGAGTAAGAATCGCGCCGGAATAATAGAGAGCAGCGTAAAAATCTGCGGTGAATGTGGCGAGGAGTATTGTTTCACCGAGACCTGCGGTGACATACTCTACGACTCATTCACCCGTGTCACAGTGGCGCCCCAACAACAGAAGATCAAAGTCTCGGAGGACACTGCGGCCATCATCGCCGGTATGAACAAAGGCAAGCGAAAGAAGAAGAAGAAGAAAGGGTTGAGGATTAAAGTCAGTGTGCCGGCTCGCAAGAGTGCGAGATTAGTGACGAGGAGAAAACAGAAGAAGAGTAAGAGCGATAGCACAAAGGGAACTGCTGTCAATGGGGACAAGAGTGAAAATGATGGAAAAGTGAAGAAATTCAAGCGGAAGTGCAGCAAACACTCGAAGAAGAGTCATTTGTCACCGAAATAGAAGAAACGAAATGTGAATTTAAACCTGAAATGTTGTATTTATGAGGAATGATGAAGGAAATGGCAAGAACTTTTAAATAAAATTAAGTATTCATGCTCTTTTTGTTTTACTATTTTATTTCTCATTTTTGGTCGAAATGTAAGATTGATGGATTTGAGGAAAGACGAAAAATCGCCGGAAGTTGGGTTTGATTCCATGACTTGCAATTAAAAGTGAAAAAATTTGAACGCTCGAGGGAGAATTATTTGTCACCAAAATAGAAGAGACAAAAGGTGAATTTAAACCTGAAACGTTATATTTATGAGGAATGACGAAGGGAATATTGAGAATTTTCGAATAAATAAATTGTTCAAGCTCTTACGTCTCCATTTCATCGAAATTCATTATTTGATATTTATTTGATTATTATATTTTTGGACGAAATGTAAGATCTATAAATTTGAGGAAATACGAAAAATCGACAGAGGTTGGGTTTGAATCCACGACTTGTAATGCAAAGTGAAAAAGTTCAAGCGCTCGAAGAAGAATCATTTGTCACCAAAATAGAAGAGACAAAAGGGAAATTTAAACCTGAAATGGTATATTTATGAGGAATGACGAAGGGAATATCAAGAATTTTCGAATAAATAAATTATTCAAGCTCTTACGTCTCCATTTCATTGAAATTCATTACTTGATGCTTATTTTATTATTTTATTTCTCATTTTTGGACGAAATGTAAGAATTATGAATTTGAGGAAATGCAAAAAATCGTCGAAGTTGGGGTTTGATACTCACCACTATAGTTATTCACTGGGTATGCGTTCATTTTGTTAATTAAAATTTTAAACTGTAATCAGTTCGTCAATAGTTATTTTCATCACAAGGTCCACAAAGTATTTTTTGACGAATGCGGCTTTGTATGACGAATGTTAATCACATTCGTCAGAAAATACTTTTGGACCGTGTGATGAATGCAATTTTTCGTCAGAAGGCCCGTAAGAATTAAATTCTTTCGGGCTTTCAATTGAAGGCCCGAGATGAAGACCCGAGTTTGTAGCAGAGATGTCAGACAAGATATGAATGTTTTCTTGGGCTCAAATGAAAGAGCGGGTCGACAAATGGCGTGCTGATGTCTCTAAACATGACAAATGTCTCTAAAAATAATGTCTGTTTTCAGTTGAAAAGCAGAGTTGTGACAACATTGTCCAGTGGGGTCTAGGAGTCTTCCCTGGTTCAAAACCATCTTTAGAGGCATCAGTACGGCATTTCTCGCCATTTATCAGCCGTTGACTCAAAATCAAACATTGAAATCTTTCATTTAAAATTCCATTAATTACTCTTCGATAGAATTATATAAATTCACAACGAGTTTATTTGCATTTTCAATTTTATTGAACCATTCAATGATATTAGATTGATGTCTCAATTCAAATGAGACTGCGCTACGCAGTGTTAATTCAAAAAAGTCTACTTGGGATACATTAGACCTTTTCATTCTGAGAGTCACTAGATTTGCGGACACTTTTTTTCCATGCNAAAAAGTCTACTTGGGATACATTAGACCTTTTCATTCTGAGAGTCACTAGATTTGCGGACACTTTTTTCCCATGTTAATTCCCCTAGGATTTGCGGACACTTTATCGAATTTACATATAAATCATGGTTTTTGAGCGCTCAAGTGTATATCATTGTAAAGTTCAATATTTATCAGAATTTTCCATGGTTTTTTCGGAGATTTTTTCGTTGAATGAACGAAATAAATATTTCCCCTAGATTTCCAGAATGAAAAGGTCTATTAACAGTGGACATCCGGTAGAATCGCGGACCTTGTTCTGACGATCATTTGTGGTATAGTGGGACACATACATGGCGCAGTCCATAATTAATATCGACTGCAAATAAAACGAAAGCAATTTCTACTCTACCGACACTTTTTGACCGACTTCAAGGACCGTGCACAGATGTGGTTGTGTACAGTTGTTCCCTCGCATTTTTCACAAATCTGTGGACAGCCATAGATGGTACAGTTGGGAAGTACGAACGCCCCCCCCCCCCTCTTACGAACGGCGTAGTATGTAACCGTTCTTTCCCGCGTCGAACGAGTCGAGACTGGTCGAGACAGGCTACACAAATCAGCCGGTTCAGCGCTAAAAAATCTTGAGTTCATTGAAAAACAATACGATTTAATCATCAATTTAATCTAGTCGAGGAGCAGAGCTAGCAAAATGTGGGGAGAGCTCAACACCGGTGAATCGGAGGGAGGTTTTATGGACGAGAGTTACAACACAGGAGCCCAGCAGACACAGAAGGAGGGCAAGAAGAGGGAGGACAACAAAATCATCCTGCCAATTATGATTGGCAGTCTGCTGCACGAGACTCCACAGTCCCTACAGCAATATGGAAATAATAGTGTTTCAGCTGTTCGTGTTGTTGCTGTTGTCACGAAGATCACTGAGGCCACCACCAAAATTGCTTATGAACTTGAGGATGAGACAGGTAATTATCTTTGTTTCATCACAAAGCAATGCCATTCGGTTTAACAAATAACAGAGAGGTAGAACGAGCCTTGCTAAATCTTAAATACCTCCCGAACAAACGATCCGATTTGAATGAGTCACGCCTCATTTTTTTTTGAAGTCTGAAAAGATACCTTGAAACAAAAATGGTTGAATTTCACTCTGCCAATCTCGAGATATTGACGATTGAAGTCGGCCATTTTAGCCCCTGTCCCATAAAATACGACTTTCAACAACACCATGTGCAATTTGATGCTCACAGTATTTTCTCTTCTTCAGTTATAATAAATTCATACGATAATAGCAGCCCATGAATCAATGGTACAACTACCCAAAATATATCGTCTCCTGCTAATGCATTGATAGTGCATCGATACCCGCATCGTAAACTATCACCAGTTGTCACAAGGGTACCGATTATTCATGCATTTTTCATACTAAAATACAATGATTTATATTTCTATTATTTAATTTAACAACTGGTGTCATTATTTTATGTGTAAAGCCGCACATTGTTTCGTTTCTCATTCATGAAGATTGAGTGAGAGGCAAAAACTGAAGNATTTCTATTATTTAATTTAACAACTGGTGTCATTATTTTATGTGTAAAGCCGCACATTGTTTCGTTTCTCATTCATGAAAATTGAGTGAGAGGCAAAAACTGAAGATGTCTAGCGGAGAAACAAAAATAAACGGTTTTATATTGCAAACAAATTTTGTCTGAGATGTTTTTGTTAGATATCTGTTGCTTTTATAAATTGATCTTTATCAATGAGAATGTATTTGGCTCAGAATTCATGACAGTGTTTTTAATTCTTCAGTTTATTTGAAAATAAAGAATTATTCTTTTATTCTTGAGCGTGATTACCACCGTGCTGACACGATACTGTCCATTCTTGGCACATCTGTATTTCCATCGATCAATTACAATATAAATTAATCAACCGAGTTTGTAATCCTGCTGAAGGGGTGAATAACTTATCAGGAACCACTCGACATTGATCAATCAAATGATTCATTGGCTTTCTCGTTTTGATTGAAGAGACAATAGCTCAATGAGCGATCCACGTAATACAAGTTATTACTAGAGAAGAGAATCTATGGGTTTAGAAAAATTGAACCCAGGTTTTTATGTACATGGAAATTGAAAGAGACTCACTCGATCGTTGAAAACTGAGTCGAATATTTTTTTACCCATGCTTGACTAGTGTCCACCGTATTTCCACCCCGGGTGGAGACTCCTGATCACGCCCTGAAGGTTCTGATTTTTAGTCGTTTTTAGGGCTATTTTTGTGGGAAAAACTCTTAATTCAGGTTTTGTTGGGGCATGTTAATTCCAATCTTCCTTTCGTGGAATAATCCAATCGTCACTCGTCCCCCCACAGGTAAAATAACAGGCTACCGTTGGTTGGAGACAGACTCTACAACAGCCTCTGACCCAATGGACATAAAAGTCAACCAGTACGTCATCATCCATGGCTGCCTCCGAGAGAGTGGAGAGGAATCCCGACATTTATTCATCCTCAACATTCGTCCCTCAGTGACTCACGGAGAGGTCTTGAATCACCTCCTGGAGGTTACCATGGCAGCTCGCCATAAGACCATCGGACTGTCCAGTCCAAAGGCAAATGCAGGTGCAGTCGACAACGACGACCCCAGTACACATGGCTTGACCCCTGACCAAGGAGTAGTTTTCAAACTCATCAAACAAGTGGACGAACATGACATTGGGATCGAGAGGAACGAGTTGAAAAGCAAAGTCCCGCCTCAGTTGGCATCAAAGGTCGATGAAATCCTTGATTTCCTTGTGTCTGAGGGACACATCTACACGACACGTACTGATGATCACTTCAAGGCCACTTAAGGCCCTTTCTTCTTAGACTTTAAACATTTTACTTTATTTTACTTGTATTATCTGGGCAGAGAATGTACACCCGGCGAATGATACGTATCAATAAGTTTTGTTACTGAAGTTTCTAATAAGTAATTAAGAGTTCCAGTGTAAAGGGGAATTGAACATAGATTATATCTACCTCAAGTGTCTCCCATCGAGGGACAAATACACCTTATTAAGTGCCTGTTCTAATTGTTCTTATGCTAAAACAACTGGAAAATGTTCAGGAATAAATTCTGTTCAATTCTCTGATTTATTACGTCTCGTCTATTCACATCTTCTCTTGATCAATAAAAATTCTTCGAGTTTAACTTCCAATAAAGAATTAATTTCATGTTTTTCATCTTGCGAAAGAATAAAAAATGATTAAAAATTTATAATGTGATCTTAAAAAAATGTCGATAACACTTGGAGTCCAGAACAGGGGTAATTAGTCACCAAAATAGAAGAAACAAAATATGAAAATGAACCTAAAATACCCTATTCATGATAAGTGATCAAGGAAATATTGAATGCAGGAATAAAAGAAATTATTCAAATTCTTCTTTTCTTTATTTGATCATAATTTCCTCAGATGGTCCCAAACAAATAAACGATACAATCATCATGCACTTCAAAGATATTCAAGTACTTCCACAATTTTCTCCAGTAATTTCATTGTTTAAATTCTTCGAAATTTAAACTTCACTTCCCATTCAAAATTGCTTGTGGGCACATAAATGATTGAGAAAGTTGGATAATTGAGAACATTTTCTCCCCAAAAAATCATCTTCCAAATTCCTCCCTCACAATTTCCTCCAAAAATTCTACGATTAAAAAAAAACTGTTAATGACACTTGCATTACCCAAAATACCACCGGAAAATCCCCCAAAATAGCCAAAGAAACAGGACCACTATGTAAATGCTGAAAAAATATACAATAGTCTTTATTGAAATAGTCGAATAAATCGCCTCCCCCTACCCAGGCATCTAAATTGAAGACTAAAAAACCATGCATCGTACACAAATATAATATTCATATATAATGATCATATATACAAATATAATATTCATAGAATTACAACAACAATTATGCGATCCTACCTAATAATCCTCAATATTCCTCATTTGTTTAATTAATCACCCGTCCTGAAGAATCGAATACATTACGACTATGTCATTTTGGCAATTATTCCCTCAACGCCATGCAATTTATATAATTACCACCCCTTTAATTAATCCCCTTATCCTAACTAATTCGATAAAGGACGTGAACATTCACGCAATTTTCCAGAGAAAAGCGTCACGGATTTAGGCCGTGATTCATTGGCAATTACAAGACATGTACATTACAATCAATAATCCCCATTATTATCAGCACTTATTACCCCATTACATTAATTTATTTACAAATGTTATTATTCAAAATATGACATTCCTTTATCCCATTCCCTCCAACAATTTACAACATATTCAGGCCCAATTGAATTGAAACCCTGTCGAATTGTTAAATATATCGTTGATCTGAAATATCATCTCTTTTAATCTTTATAAAAATAGTCTAAATCCAAATAATTGAGAAAATTTTACATCAACAAATCACACATCAGTTCTCTATTCTCTCATCTCTCTCTGTTTAATGATCATTATTTCTTTCTGACATATCTTAAGTACTATTTCCAGAACATGCAGCTGAATGCAATTGTCATCATGTTTAATAATATCAACACGTATTACCAGTGATGAAGAGTTTACAAGTTTATCGTGATTCCGGAGATATTCGAGAGCATCAGGTGAGATGTACTATTTTTAATAAGAACATATTCGAGGTACACCTATCACATAACATGTACTGAATTGTCTTTTCACACGGGGGTGGAGTAAGACCACTCTACCTAAATCGTCAATATCTCCCGACCCAGTGATTCGATTTGGGCGAGTCGAGCTTCATTTTGAGGGCTTCAAAATAAAAAAAAAAGATGTTTGAATTTTACTCTGCCAATCTCGAAATATTGACGATTGAAGTAGACCATTGTAGCCCCTCTCCCGTAAAATACGATTTTCAACAACACAATGTGCAATTTGATGCTTACAGTAGTTTCTCTTATTCAGTTACAATAAATTCATACGATAATAGCAGCCCATGAATCAATGGTACAACTACCCAAAATATATCGTCTCCTGCTAATGCATTGATAGTGCATCGATACCCGCATCGTAAACTATCACCACTTGTCGCAAGGGTATCGATTATTCATTTATTTTTCATACTAAAATACAATGATTTATATTTTTATTATTTAATTTAACAACTAGTGTCATTATTTTATGTGTAAAGCCGCACTTTGTTTCGTTTTTCATTCATGAAAATTGAGTGAGAGGCAAAAACTGAAAATGTCTAGCGGAGAAACAAAAATAAACGGTTTTATATTGCAAACAAATTTTGTCTGAGATGTTTTTGTTAGATATCTGTTGCTTTTATAAATTGACCTTTATCAATGAGAATGTATTTGGCTCAGAATGCATGACAGTGTTTTTAATTCTTCAGTTTATTTGAAAATAAAGAATTATTCTTTTATTCTTGAGCGTGATTACCACCGTGCTGACACGATACTGTCCATTCTTGGCACATCTGTATTTCCATCGATCAATTACAATATAAATTAATCAACCGAGTTTGTGATCCTGCTGAAGGGGTGAAATAACTTATGAGGAACCACTCGACATTGATCAATCAAATGATTCATTGGCTTTCTCGTTTTGATTGAAGAGACAATAGCTCAATGAGCGATCCACGTAATACAAGTTATTACTAGAGAAGAGAATCTATGGGTTTAGAAAAATTAAACCCAGGTTTTTATGTACATGGAAATTGAAAGAGACTCACTCGATCGTTGAAAACTGAGTCGAATATTTTTTTTACCCATGCTTGGCTAGGGTCCACCGTATTTCCACCTCGGGTGGGGATTCCTGATCATTCCCTCGATGTTCTGATTTTGTTTTGTTTTTTAGCGCTATTTTTGTGGGAAAATACTCCCAATTTACGTTTTGCTGGGGAGAACGGCTTCAATTGTCCTTTCGTGCCTTCTTTTTACTTTTCTTCTGGGGTTTTGCTTCTGTCCATGTGTCTGAAAAAATATAAATACACGATAAATTAAATTATTCATCCTAAGAGAATCCAAATAATTTCAATGGTGAATATTTTTATTCAATTGTGTGATGTGCGTTAATGAATAATAAAGCATTAGACATGGATAATTTACCTCCTAATTCATCGAACACTGGAGCTTTCTTCTCAGTAACTGTCTCCACCTTCTGCACCTCAACCGTCTCAATCTTCTTCACCTCCCCAACCCCCTGGGCCAGAACTTTCTCCAGTGTTTTTTTCTCAGTGACGGCTGCATTATTCTCCCCATCAATAATCTTCTTGGCCTTCTTCGATTTGGCGAGTTTCTTATCATCCTTCTCCGATTTCTCGACCTGATAGAACCAAAAAATAGTCAGTTAATACTTTTACATAACCAGTTATATTTAGTCGTCATCGACATTAACCAGAGTCGAGTATCATTACCTTCTTTATCTCCTCCTTTATCTCAGGAACCTCGGGTTCATCAACGACCTCATTGCTCACTGGCTCCAAAACAATTTCCTTCTGATTCTTCTCTTTCAACTCTTTATTCTGCGTCTCCTTGGCAACCTTATCTTTAATCTCAATTTTATCCTGCTCCTTATCTTTGGTATCATTCGTCAATTCAGACTTTTTAGATTTTTTAGTCTTCTTCGGGGTCTCTTCCTCCTTCTTCTTCTTCTTGTCCTTCCTCGATGGTGCCTGCTCCCAGTCACCTGCAAGAATTACAAAAAATCAAGTTGAAAATTGCTCTTGTGTTGCATATGGTAGTTATTTTTCCTAATAAATTAGCAATATGCTTCCGAATGGTTATTTTGCACATCAGTTCCGTCTGTCATGTATAATTCATTGTTTGTTGCATTTTATTAAATTGAATAACATTTCTTTTCAAGTAATTTTTGCAGATTCTCAACTTAGTTGAATGTTATCATCATTATTATTCTTATTAGCCTTTTTTTCTATTCAATCTGTTGTCTTTTCTACGGTTCTATCTCTCCCCTCAGCCCTTCGATAAAACGTTAATAGAAAATTTTTATTTATACAGACTTGAATGAATTTGAAACATCACATTTGAAGAAACCATCAGAAAGATCAGTTTCAGGGAAATTCATTAAAAATTCAAAGTTTTCAACAATTATCATAAAATTCAAATCAAACAATATAGCTATCGTAATCGTCTTTTAACTTCGACTTAATGGTATTAAAACAAGTATTTTAAGTTATGATTGAATTCATTTGAAGCATGATATTCAAAGATATCCCCGGAATCAAAATCAAAATAACGATTATTGCTATCGCCTTCATCTTCGAACTCGGTCAAAAGGACATCCAAACAAATTTTTTAAGCCACCATTCAATAAATTCAGAACATTTTTTTAGGAATCGAGAGACAACCGAAAAATTCCAAAATTAAAAAACTAATCAATGAATTAAAATTTAATTAATGGCGATTGATAGAGCTCAATAAAGTATCCAAAACTTGAATTTGAACGATTACAAAGCTTCCATTCGGAAACAAAAACAATATGAAAGGATTTAAAAAATAATTACAAGCCAAAAAAAATTATAGTGATTATTATAATATAATTATAAAAATTGCAGAATCGAAAATGAATTTATGAAATTGTTGTTCACGTTCAGGAATTGAAATTTTGGGAAGACTCACCCTCATCGAAATCAACTGGCTTCTCGAGAATCAAATTCTTGAGATTCTTCTTGTTCTTCGCCTGCTCAACCTTATTCTCCTTTCCAGATTTAGCATTAACCTGGTTCTTCTCTTTCTTATTGACAACAGCAGGAGTGTTCTCCTCTTGTTTCCTCTCCTTCAGTTTACCATCAACATCCTCACTCTTACTGGCAGCCTTTTTCGTCTCAGTTTTAGCTGGTGACACTTTCTTGGCAGGACTGGCCTTCTCATTCACTCCCTGATTACTCGTTGTCCGCTGCAATAATTCAATTCAGTTTTACTCTCCAAATATCCACCATCCACGCATTCCGCGTGAGGGCATGAGGGAATTAATTCTTGGGTCATTCGGAGAGACGTTGAGTGTAATACTGCATGCATCAAAGAATCCTTTCGCTTTGCGATGAGATATTCTTTTTGAATTTTATGGGCTATAAAAGTTGTCGACTCACAAAACGACAGAATTTTTATCGCTTTTTTGTGGAGAATTTTATGGGCTACGAAATATTTTTCTGACTTTTCTCGGGTAGATTCACTAGCTTCCGAGATATTGAGAGTTTTACGAAGGGAAAAATTGAAAATTTTATTTGAATGAATTTTTTCAAGGTGTTTTTTCTAATAACAGTGGGTTTATCTTCGGAACTAATAAGTTTTTGAAAAATTGTGATACTTTTTTGGGGAATTTCAAGAACTACAATTTTTTTTCCTGACATGTTTCGATAGATCCACTAGTTTCGAAGATATTGTAAATTTTATGGAGAGACAAAGTGAAAGTTTTATTTAAATAACTTTTTTAGGTTTTTCGATTTTAATCAAAATGTTAACAACTCGAAACTAGACGATTTTGCAAAAAATGTGATAAGATTTTTTTTTGTGGGAAAATTCGGAGACTAAAAAAGGATTTGATGACATTTTTCGATGGATGCAGTAGATTGAGAGATATTTCAGGATTTCACATTGAAAAAACCAAACGTAAAATTTTTTATTTTCAATAAATTATTAGTCTTTTCTGCAGATGATAAAATAAAAAGTGATAGAATAAAAACCATCCGTTGAATTTAAAATTCATTGAAAAGGTAAACATTACATTCACTAAAGTTTCAATGAATCAACAATTCGGAAAGATAACATATCATTAATTTTCTAATTTATCTTCAATCTGTTTTTTAAATACTGACATCCGTTCAAAAAGTCGTCTCTCCCCAAAAATAAAGAAAAAGCGTGCACAATCATCGATTTAAATTAAAAACTCGTTGAGAAAATTACATTACATGCTCTGAATTTTCAATAAATCCTGAAATTTCCATTCGTAACATTTCAGTAAATTCCCCAAGAAATTAACAAAATCATTAATTAAAAAATCCTTATGAACTCCAAGTAAATGTCTCTCCCCCAAAAACCTTCCAGAAATTAACTCGAAATTTTAATTCTAATTTTCTAATTTATCTTGAATCTATTTTTTAATTTAATTTTAATACAGCCATTCAAAAAATCGTCCCCCCTCCCAAAATCGAAAAAAGAGTGCACAATTATGGATTTGATTTGAAAACTCGTGAGAAAACTGACCATTGCATTCCCTAAATTTTCAATAAATCCTGGAACCTCCAATCGTAACATTTCCTTGAATTACCCAAGAACGTAACAAAACCATCACTAAAAAATTCCTATAAATCCACTTAAATGTCCAAATTTCAATCCTAATTTTCCAACAATGACATCCACTCAAGAAATCCTCTCCCCCCAAAAGTTAACGAAAAAGAGATTCAATCATGGATTTGAATTACCAAATCATTGGAAAATTTGAACACAATTAATTGAGAAAAATGGAACATTATTAATTGGGGAGTTGAATTCCATTCAACTCCCCAAGAAATTAACAAAATCGTCAATAAAAAAATCCCTACAAAAAATTCCTATAAACTCCACGTCAATGTCCAAATTTCAATCCTAATTTTCCAACAATGGCATACACTCAAGAAATACTCTCCCCCCAAAAGTTAACGAAAAAGAGATTCAATCATGGATTTGAATTACCAAATCATTGGAAAAATTGAACACAATTAATTGAGAAAAATGGAACATAATTAATTGGGGAGTTGAATTCCATTCAACTCCCCAAGAAATTAACAAAATCCTCAATAAAAAAATCCCTATAAACTCCACGTAAATGTCCAAATTTCAATCCTAATTTTCCAACAATGACATCCACTCAAGAAATCCTCTCCCCCCAAAAGTTAACGAAAAAGAGATTCAATCATGGATTTGAATTACCAAATCATTGGAAAATTTGAACACAATTAATTGAGAAAAATGGAACATTATTAATTGGGGAGTTGAATTCCATTCAACTCCCCAAGAAATTAACAAAATCGTCAATAAAAAAATCCCTACAAAAAATTCCTATAAACTCCACGTCAATGTCCAAATTTCAATCCTAATTTTCCAACAATGGCATACACTCAAGAAATACTCTCCCCCCAAAAGTTAACGAAAAAGAGATTCAATCATGGATTTGAATTACCAAATCATTGGAAAAATTGAACACAATTAATTGAGAAAAATGGAACATAATTAATTGGGGAGTTGAATTCCATTCAACTCCCCAAGAAATTAACAAAATCCTCAATAAAAAAATCCCTATAAACTCCACGTAAATGTCCAAATTTCAATCCTAATTTTCCAACAATGACATCCACTCAAGAAATCCTCTCCCCCCAAAAGTTAACGAAAAAGAGATTCAATCATGGATTTGAATTACCAAATCATTGGAAAAATTGAACACAATTAATTGGGAAAAATTGAACATAATAAATTTGAATGGAATTCAACTCCCCAAGAAATTAACAAAATCATCAATAAAAAAATCCCCAAAGTCCCCCAGTAGCTGTCTCCCCCCAAAAACTCCCAAAAATCAGCTCCAAACGTCAACCCAAATTTTCCAGCAACGACATCCACCCCCTCTCCCCACCGGCCTGGCAAAACATCCTCCTGCGAAAAATAAAGCAAAATCTTCAGCTCTCCGTGAGACTGGGTGAAAGCCCCCCCTAAGCGGTTTCCAGCTGATCGCCCCGAAGTTCCAGTGGTCGCCTCCATATGGCACGCACGAAACCCCACCAATCTAGCCGACTCATCCTCACAATTGTCACCTTCCCCATGCAAAAGCCCCCCAAAACTGCCCCCTGACTCACCTTCTCCTTGATTTTGCTGCGTTTCTTAGTCGCCTGTTTGCGCTCGACATCGGAGGCCGCCGATAGCTGTGCAAACGGTGGTTGTTCGGCATTTTTGAAGCCAAAAGCGAATACGAGAACAGCACAGACAAGTACAAGACCGACTGGTACAGCGTACTGAATGTGTTGAAGCAGAATGCTCACGTCCATGTTATTAAATTGTCCTCAAAACAACGCGCGACTTCACTCTCCCCCTGGGACTACAACTTTTTCAGTCAACTTTTATTTCGATCCAATGAGGAGCACCATCGAACGACCGAACAACACGAGGACCCACTGATTACGGGATAAATCAGCCAGTTCGTGAATGTAACAAACACCAACTTCAACCACACGGTGACACGGCGGCTTGACACAACCGGAGGGGGACTACAACGCCCCGGGTGGATTTTACGGGTACCAGGGAGCTGCCAGGCGGGCGCCGACCCCGGCTGACGCGGCTGTGACTTGCCACTGATGGAGTCAGTGAACCGTTGCTTCAGAGAAGATTCAATTTGCTTGCTGATGACGAGTGTTTTCTCAGGCGGACGGGGTATGATTACAATTGTTTTTATTTCTGGGGATTACGGGGTTTGTTTTGGTAGCGGGAGAGCTGTCGGCACGGACGGGGGGGAGAGGACTACGTGAAAAAGGCGGGAGATTTGAGTTTTGACATTGATTTGTTTGTTTAGTCTGTTGTTGGAAGAAAATCTCTGGGTTTATTGAAAATGAGAATTTCTGATTGTGTGAATATCTCGGAATCTAAGGCAGGCAGCGAAATTTTTGATATGACCTTTTTTGTAGGGCAAATTGAGGGCTATGAAAAAGGTCGTTACGAAAAATTCGGTAGCGCCCTTGGGTTCGGAGATATTCGTCGAAAACAGAGCTAAAGGCCAAGTCAAGTACATTGTTGCTTTCGAATGAAGGTAATCGTTCGAATTTGAGTTCTGATTTTATATATATATATAAATGCGATTTTTAGAAAATCCTGTCCACATCGGTGACCAAATTTTTCTTTAATTGTTCTCTAATGAATTGACGGAATATAATCCTTTTTCTCAAATGGAGGTATTGTTGAGGACTGTTCATCGATATTAATTAAAATTTAATTCTTATATTAATGTTTTGAATTTTTGGGGTATTTTAAACATCCGTTATCCCACGATATTTAAAACAATGTTCTAAATTCTTTGAATGATGGGTTTAAAAAAATTGTTTCAGTGCCCCTTTGACCGAGTTTAAAGATGAAGGCGATAGTAGCAATCGTTGGTTTGATTTTTATGATGATTTTCCAAGTTTTTAATTTTTCTAAAATTTCGTTGAGTGAATTTTCCGAAGGTTACTTCAAATATAGTATTTCAAATTCATTCAATTATGCATAAAAAAGATTTTCTAGTACCATTTTATCGAAGTTCCAAGGCAATAGAGATATCATCATTATTTGATTTCATTCTAACACAAGAAATCTAGAATTGATCAAAGAAGAACTTTAATTTAATCAAATTAAATTAAAATAATCAAATAAAATAAGATAAAACGATAAATGATATAGAATAGAAGAAAATTATGTGTAAAATGACCATTCAGAAGCATTTTGCTAATTTATTAACGAAAATAGTTTTAACTATCACGTGATTCTTCCTTTGATGCCCACAATTTATATTAATTTATTGTAATAATGCATAATTAAATATTTTAAGACCCAATTCACCACTCAGTTCTGTATAAATTCCATCAAAAGTATTGAATTTCCCCAGGCGAGATTGTGTTGAAAATAATTTATTTAAATATGTACAAATAATTCATAAAAACGTAAATTCAACTAGACTGTTAGCTCTTGGCAGCTTTAGCGAATTGCACGACCATGGGTTTGTCCTTCAAGATGTATCCATTGGTCTCGTTCAATGCTAGTTGCGCTTGTCCCATGTTCTGGAATGTGACAAAGGCTTGGCCCTTCATTCTCCCCTCTTGCATCAATCGAACGTCATACCTAATCATTGAAAATCCAAAATTAAAACATAAACCAAACAATAAAGCCGAACAGTTCAATTAATTTCCATGAATAGCCTTCAATAAATCAACGATTCTCACTGAGATTCCGAATTATTCAGCCCTGGTAACACATATCTCTTGTAGATGTAATGAAGATCGTCCACTTCCACATGTTTCGATAGATTCTTTATGTACAATCTGCAGGAAGCCTTGCCCGGATGATAATTCTGGTAAACTGGAAGTAATCTTTGGTCTGGAATCGGTAAATCATTCGTGATCAGTTGAATTAATTATTAATGCCTCAAGAATTACGACTTAAATTCAATTACCATTCGCTGAAATTCTGTTGGCAGCCAATTCTTCAGACGTGATGAACTCCCTCTTCTCTTCCTCTTCCTCCTCCCCATCATGAACATTCGCTGGAAATATCAGACCAAATCCAGTCTCACCTGTTTCGTCATTCGAAACACTGGAATCAGCCCTGTTACTCTCAGGATCCACCAATTTCTCCACGTTCTTCAGATCGATCTTCAGGTTCTTCGCATCCCCGAGTTTCATGGACTCGAATACATCCTCTGGTCTCATAGTTTTGTGGCTAGAGGTTGTGGGGGTCGGTTGGCTCAGTGGATTCACGAATTTGGGGATTTTTAAACGCTTCCGCGACTGGGGGAGCTGTCTTTTTACTGGAATCATCTCGGGCTTTGATTTATCGTCGTCAGACTCCATTTCTGATTCTTCTTCATCTTCTGGGGGTGAATAATATACACGAATAATGGGTGAAAACTGTTCTGAATTAATTACACGAGTGATTAATTAATCATTCAAGCGGAAGACTACACTGAGAGAAAAACGACAATGTTCTCAAACAAGTCTTACTTGTGCCAAGAAAATAGTTTCTTAAAAATTATCAAAAAAGGATTTTTTTGTGCCAAACATGCAGAGAGTGCGCTGGAATGAAAAAATTTTGTCGCAAAAATAGATTTAGTAGTTCAAAAAAAAATTGCATTCTCTACTCCTTCGTTATTCGATACTCCCATACGTATTTTGCTCCCGAAAAATCCTTGTTTTATGCAAAACAAGGGATAGTAGTTTTTCTTTTCGGCTGTTTAATAATCACAGACAAGAAATTAACCCTTAAATTAAACAATAATAATGATATGACAGCAATCTTGTAACTTATGGATAAAATATTTGTTAATAAATTTGCCGTCTGGTGTGAATTATCCGCCTCTTGAGGTGAATATTTCGTTGCTGCAGAAAGCAGAAGAATGATTCATGTTTGAGACTTTCACATTCGAACCAAACAAATTCTTTTTTGACAATTTTCAACTAGCGATTTAGTTGACCCAAATAAGACTTGTTTGACAACGTGTTTGTTTTTCTCTCAGTGTAGAGAAATTTAGTGGAATTTAATTTTTGTTTTCTCCTGTTCTCAATCTTCAAAGTGAGAACAACTGTCGCATTCGTCTTATCTCCCCTATCAATAATTGATTCATCATTAATATCAGTTCATTTATTTACCATTAATATCTTCAGTCTCAGTGCTCATTCTCCCGAAAATGTCTCGATAATTCTCGACATCATAAACTTCCCTCAGAGTGGGAAACTCCTCATCCAGTTCCTCGAACGGTGGAGGAAGATTCATCTTATTCATCAGATGCAGGACCTGAATATACATTTATTAAAGATCTTATGAGGATATTTTTAAGAGAAGTCATTATTCATCTTTGAAAATTTTGTACGGTCAAATGAAATAATTTCTGCTTCGAGAAAATTTTTTTAAAATATTTTTTTAATCAACTTTTGTTTATCAACTTTTTTTATTCTTAGGAGTACTGATGAGAATAATAATTTTCCATGGTAAATTACTGAGAAGTTTTGACGGTAGAATCTGTCGTCAATGGATTAATTGAAAAAAAAACCAAACAGTAATATCTAAAGTCCAGAGCAAGGCCCACGGGAAGACCCAGAGGGGGAAAAGGAAAATGTGATGCTGAATTTCAATCGAATGAAAACAGAAAAGTGTAATCGGCCCAATCTAATCAATTGAATTATAAGGCCAATAGAAAATTATTATTCTTTTATTATTAGTACTCCCAATAATAGAGAAAGATGATAAACAAAAGTTGATAAAAAATAATTTTTCTTGCTTGAATAGCGTCACATAGTCGTTTTCCCGCTGTTTCATTTTGCCCCACTCTCCCCAGCATAAAATATCCAACTCACTTGAGTATAAAACGCAGGCTCCCTAATCAGTTGAATAGCAATCCGCATGAGAGTATTCCTAGTGGGCAGTGGATACTTGTACGATATGTTGGGAGGTGGTGGCTGTGAGAACGTGTAATTCGTCGTCCAGCTGTTCAGTTTTTTTATAAACGCCTGGAAGTGCTCGGAATTCCCGGTGTCCCCTGCCTCACCCCCGTGGATACCATCGGAGTGCCCAGTCTCGCCATCAAGCTCACTCTCCATCGACTTCTTGGCGAATTCTATCGACAGATGCTGGCCCTTGACCTCCAGCTGATGCAGCTGCAGGAAGGCCTTGGTCGCAGCCTCGTTCGATGGGAATTTGACGAATGTCGCTGAGTAGTTGTCAGACTTTCTGATTGTCTTCGTGTGGAGGGCTCCATATTTCTTGAATAACTCGTCGCGTTTTTCGTCGGTTATGTAGGGGGGCAGGTGGAGGACACGAAGGGTGTCACATCCCTTTTGAGAAGACGGAATTGTTGGTTGAAACATGTTTACAATTTGGGGAAATTGAGAATTTTTGGTCTGGTCGACGCAGCTCTTTGCTGAGTTCTTGAGGAATATCTCTGAATCTAAGGGAGATGGCGAATTTTTTGTAAGAAACTTTTTTGTGGGAAAAATTGAGAGCTACAAAAAAGGTTATAACAAAAATATTGCTATCTGCCTCGGATTCCGAGATATTCAATGAAAACTGAGCGATTGTCAAAATCGACTGGGAACGATTTATCGCTTCGCTAGTGAATTATCGTATTTAAATTATTAATGTTTTAAATATTTCCTTCTCACAAATGAACAGTTCATCTGAAAAAAAAATATTTCTGATCTAGAAAATTGAGTAATAAATTTGTGAGGACTAACTGTGATATTCAATCTTAACCAATCAGACAAAGTTATTCTAAAATTAAAATATGAATTTAGAAGAAATTTAATGAAATTGACGGTTTCCAATCATTAAGAAGAGGACTTTGTAACACCAAAGAAGATGAATAAATAAAAACTAATAAATAATAGTAATAAATTTGAGGATTTTCATACACAACTAGCATTACAAAAATTTAATTCCATAAAATATTAGTTTTCGAATGAATAATACAACGAATAATCCATCATCAATGAAAAATAGATCATTTTATTGAATACAAAGTGTTCCATAACAACTTCCAAACATTTGATGATTTAGAATTATTGCTGATTAATTCTTCACGAGAATTTGCGACAGTTCAAAAGCAAAAATACACAATTGCAAGAGGTCTTTATCTCAAATGGAGCCCTGACGTTCCACAACAGATGATGACAAGGACTTCAAGGAGAAAAAAATGTAGAAATCCTTGAAAACCCAAACCCCCTGAATCCTCCATAAATCAAACGAAATTAACGACTCACCGTCGACGAAGACATTGCGAAATCCCAAAAATATACGAAATAATCTCAATTCCGAACGACTGATCAGCGGATCATAATGCTCCAAAAACACTTAGCATTGTTTACTCGCTCCTCATCAAAACACGAGAAAAAACATCGCAGTAGCCATACGTCACGGGAATTTTCGGACGGCGTCACCTCGCGGGGATTCCCGGAACCGCATTGTGACGCTGCTCGGGCGACGCAGCGTCAAAATCAAAAGCGTCAAGTTGAAAAAAACACCCCAATTTCCGTCAACAAACCCTGAAAACTGGAGTAAAGTGATTTCCCCATGAAAATGCTCAGTGATTATGAATTGTTCAGGCAGCTGTGTCACAAACGCAAGATCACGGTGCAGCCGGACATTCTGGGGGCTGTGGAAAGCGCAAGGTAAGTGCATGTGGAGGTGCAGAAACACCCCAGTCACATAAACATCAAAATAAACCCATGCGAGGATCTGCTTCTGGTGGAATATTTTAACGATGGGCGAAAAATGGATTTTAGGGAGCGAAACGAGGATCTATATATCACTACAGTATGCATTGTTCACCATTAGTCACTTTAATCACAATGAATATCAATATTTACACTAGAGTCAATGAGATGGTCAAGATTATAACTCAAACCTCTGTTACACCTCACAAATTTGACTCACGCTTCATGAACTTATTATTTTCATCGATTTCTGATGCAATAAAACCATGTCCTAGTATTTACATAAAATTAATGACAACTACACTGGGAAGGAAACAAGATTCAGAAAGTTAAAATGGTTTGAGTCACTGAAATACATTTCTGGTGATTCCATTCAATCCAACATTTATCACTCCACATTCTCTAAAATTCCAAACGCAAGGTAAATTCATGTGAAGGCACAGAAACACCCCATTTCCCATAAACATCAAAACAAACCCATGAGATACGAACATGAATGAAAATGTTGGATGCAAGATCTGATTCTAATGGAATATTTTTGCGATGAGCGAGAAAACCGAAAAATCAGGGTGTATAAATATTTACACTATTTATATTTACACTAGAATATTTACACTAGAGTCCATGAGATGGTCAAGATTATAACTCAAACCTCTGTTATACCTCACGAATTTGACTTACGCTTCATGAACTTATTATTTTCATCGATTTCTGATGCAATAAAACCATGTCCTATTATTTACGTAAAATTAATGACAACGACACTGGGAAGGAAACAAAATTCAGAAAGTTAAAATGATTTGAATTACTGAAATACATTTCTGGTGATTCCATTCAATCCAACATTTATCACCCCACATTCTCTAAAATTTCAAACGCAAGGTAAATTCATGTGAAGGCACAGAAACACCCCATTTCCCATAAACATCAAAACAAACCCATGAGATACAAACATGAATGAAAATGTTGGATGCAAGATCTGATTCTAATGGAATATTTTTGCGATGAGAACTATGTATTATGTATTTTGTGATGAGAACTATGATCACTACACTATGCCTTGTTCAACATTAGTCACTTTAATCACAATGAATATCAATATTTACACTAGAGTCAGTGAGATATGGTCAAGATTATAACTCAATCCTTTTTTACACTTCATGAACTTACTATTTTCATCGATTCCTGATGCAATAAAACCATGTCCTAATTTTTCCATAAAATTAATGACAGCTACGCTGCGAGGAAAACAAAATTCAACAATTTAAAATTGTTTGAGTCCCCGGAATTTCAGTGGCGAAGCGGTAAACCATTTTAAGCAGATTTTGTTCAGCTTCCAATGTCTCGGCAACAAAGACAGATAGCGCAATTTTCGTTGCACCTTTTTTGCAGCTCTCAATTCGCTCTATAAAAAAGATCGTCACGAAAACTTCGCTATCCCCCTTAGATTCGGAGATATTTTTCGAAAACTCATCCAAGAGCTGACTTGAATCGTTCCACCGCTTCGCTACGTATTCGTCACCTCACGTTGTCTAAAATTCCAGTTCAACCGGAATTCTCCGTCTCCCCTGTCAATCGATAGTCCTCCCAGTCTGCGAGATTCTGGGTCGAGTGCTCTCCTCCTCCTCGACAGTCCGCTCCCTGGACCTGAGCGACTGCATGCTGATCTCCAAGGGCCTCAGCCGGATCCTGGAGGCCCTCACCTCGGGCTCGACCCTCACCACCCTCAACCTGAAGGGCAACAACATCGCAGGCCCCATCGTCTCCCAGCTGGGTGAGATATTCCACCGAAACCACACCCTCAGGACCCTGAACATCGAGTGGAACAGCCTGGGAACGGACACCGAGTGCTTCACCGCCTTCTGCGAGGGTCTCTCCTCCAACAACAGCCTCGAGGAGCTCGACCTGCGTTACAACCAGATCTCCCCGCTGTGCGCCGAGGCCCTCAGCAAGCTCCTCACACGAAACAAATCCCTGAAGATCCTGAACCTGGGGCGGAACAACCTCGGGGTGCAGGGGGGTCAGGCGATCCTCACCTCCATGAGGGAGAACACCAGCCTGATCAAGCTGAACCTGCGGGGCAACTGCATCCCCGAGGAGATCCTCGCGATGATCGAGGACCTGACCCTCAAGAACCAGAGCCGAGAGATCCAGTCGCTCTCGAACATCTCCAGGAGCCTCCAGGGCCACAGGCTCCTGGTCCTCCACGAGAATCGCCAGATGTACTCGACGAGTGATGAATCAGTGGAGAAGGACGTTGTCCTGAAGAAGAAGAAAGTGAAGCAGAAGAGCAGAATACCTGGCTGGAGGGGAGAGTCGACACCTTTGAGGAACCATCAGGACCCTGAACCCCCTGACGACGACTTCAACGAGTCGATCCTCTCCCTGAACATCATCGGGGAGCAGTCGAGGCCTTCTGAATCCGGAAATCGCCCCCTGGAGGTTCCCACGAACAAACACGACTCAGAGGTCTCCAAGATCGCTGAGTTGAACAGAATTCTCCAGGAGCGATCGGCTGTGATCAGCACCCTGATGAAGGAGATCGCCACCAAGAATGAGGAGATGAAGGGAGTGAAGTCGTTGGTGCACCAGCTGGAGGAGGAGGCGCTCCAGGCGAAGACGAACAGCGAGAGGGCAATTGAGGAGAAGGTGAGGGAGATCGAGGGGATGAGGGAGAGCCAGAGGGCGAGCGAGGAGGCCTGGAGGAAGGTGCAGAGGCAGCTGGAGGAGAATCAGAAGGACCTTGAGGAGAGGAGCAGAGAGTGGGAGGGGAAGGCGAGGAGGTACGAGGGGGATGTGCAGAGGAGTTCAGCAGCACTCGTGGGGCTGAGGGAGAGGTTCTTGAGCAAGTCTCAGCAGTATGAGGAGGTCATAGCGAATTGTAAGACTGAGGTTCACAGGGTGAAGGGGGAGCTGAGGGAGAGGGTGAACAGACACAAGATTGAGATTAACGTCCTGAAGAGGACGTTGAAGGAGACGACAGAGGCTCTCGAGGAGTGCCAGCTGCAGCTGCAGAAGAGCAGGGCGGAGCTGAGGGAGGTGCAGAATAATTTTTCTGGTGTTATGGCGAGGATTGGGGAGATGGAGGGGGTGAGTGGGAAGTACCTGAGGTTGGAGGAGGCTTTTCAGAAGCTGAAGGAGGAGAAGATCGTGGTTGAGGAGAAGTTCACTGAGTCCCAGAGGACAATAGCGAGCTTGAAGAGGCAGGTGGGGTCGCTGGAGACTGAGTTGATCGAGCCTCAGAGGAGGCACAATCTGCTGAAGGAGGAGTTGGAGACTGAGAGGGAGAAGACTGCGAGGCTGAAGGAGGAGTTGGCGGGGGAGAGGACGAGGCTGAAGGAGCAGGACTGCCAGGTGCAGAAGATGTGCCAGCAGATCAGTGGGCTCAATGAGCAGATGAGTGAGGCTCAGAGGGGGCATGCTGAGGAGATCAGGGAGAGGGAGAGGGAGAGGAAGCAGTTGAAGGAGATCATCGCCAGCAAGGATCGAGACTTGAGGGAGCTCAGGGCTGAGGAGGCTCAGAGGGCTGGACAGCTTTATGCTGCTTTCACCAAGTATCTTGGGTCCATTGGATCCACTGCGCCATTGTGATGTTCAGGAGCACTTGTAAATATGGTTTTTGTCATTATTTATTGGTATTTGTAGCTTATTTATTGGAAATAATAAACGAGAAATTTTTTAGAGAATTTTTTTTGTCTCGTTTGTACTGATTATTCATTCATGAGCTCGTATTCTCGTGGAATCCACGTATTTTCTCATTCAACTGCGTAATTTAGTGGATGATAGTACACCTCACGTAACAAAATTTTCTGAGAATTTGCTAATGTTATCCCTGATAGATATGTGATCAGTCTACACGTGTCTTCCCACACTCGTGTAATTCATCCATAAATGTAAGGTATTGCCAGCATTGATCCACGAGGCACGTACCAGTTTAGTATATGAGTCGTATTAACAGTACATGTCACCAATAATTATCTAATCACTCGGGTGTCCTGGGTTGAATGATGGAAAAAGAACGTGCAATTACGATTAATAACAATTTCGTGGAATTTAATCAGGCGTTCACGTCACGAAGAGTTAATGAAGATATTTAATTTCTTCCACTTTTGTAACGGAATAAGTAATTAATGAACGTAACTAATAAGTAACTAATGAACGTCAAAATTGTTATTTATGTCTGCGGATTTCTCTTTAAGCAATTTCCATGGAAATTCTCGGTACTGTTAACGACAGCTGTTGTCTCGACCAAAGTCATCCGAGGAAATTGCCTCTTCTGATGAACTTCCTGCGTCGTTAACATTTTTATAAGGATGTAACGATTCTAGGATGCAAGACGTAATTCACGAGGGAAATGCAGAAAATTGGAGATGCTGTGATGAGATGAGTGGTTTTACGAGAATTCTTCAATTTAATCAATAAAATGAGAGCTGAATCAATCTCGTTAACGTACCCAAATTAAAATGATTTTATAAATATCACGAAAACAATTGGATTTATCCAAAAATTGTCAACTGTTAATTTTAGGAATTATTGCAACAATTATTTTTTCAATTGTTGATTATTTCATATTTACGAATTCGTAAATATGTTTAGAATTGTTGGGTCAAGAGAGAAATATCAAAGACCCGTTTTAGCAGTTCATTGAATTGTACCCAAAAAGAGACATTATTCCCTAGACTTTTATATTCCATCCATATTTTAAAAATTAACAAATCGTCAATTGCTCATCACTTCGCTATTTCCATCAAATTTTCAATTCACACAAATGACTAAACAAATTATTTTAACTAAAAAACCGACAGATATCCATTGGACCAAAATTAAAATTCTGAGCCTCACAATGTTCGTCAAACCTCCCATGACGACGTTCATCAGGGTATGTATAAGGTACCCCAGAAACAACAAATCGTTCAAATTAAAATAATAACTATCCAGATTAAAACACCGTTAGCCCTCAAACTTTTCCAATCCGTCAATTCCTTAAAACTCAAATATTATGCTTTATTGACTAAAATAAATTCAATTTGGAAACATCTAAGCTGGATAAATAAGACGATAATATTAAATTTACAAATTTGTAATACTGAGTCGCAAGTCAGGGCATACTCGTTATTTACACTCCATTCTCTTTGGTTCGCTCAATTCAATTCGTTAATCCCCAGTACCAGTGTAAATACAAGTCGTACATACACATCCTTCATTTAAAATTTCCTCCTCCCAAATAATCTTGAATTTAATCCCAATCTACACATTCAACTGCGACCCTGCGCCTAGTCTGTGTACGACTGCACAAAATTAAAATAAAACCGGAGAATTTTTCGTGAATGAATAGAAACCAGAAGCATAAATCATAATTTCTAGAGTTAAATCTCATCTTCTTATTCGGTAGTGACCTTTAGTTTTTGTTGCATAACTAAAAGAGAGATCAAAATTTTTGTAGAGAAGAGAACCACAATGAAAGAATTCATTAAAATTTCGCTATCTCCCTTCAATTTCGGGATCTTCAGCAAACAAAGGAAAGATTTTGATGATGAATAGAACAAGTAAAACGAAATAACTAAGCATGAAGTTTGGCTGAACAAGTTGCAATAAAAAGAAATATGAGTAGCTTTTTTCTTCTTTTATGAAAAAGGTTCTCATGGCCAATTCTTTATTTTGGAGTTTTTAAAACGAATGTGTGAAAAAAAAATACAATTCCCGGATAATGACCTCCACTCAACTCCCCATTTATTTTCACTGCTGTATACATCGAACAGGAATGTAATCACGATCATTCAGTGTGGAGTTAAAAAAAAAAAATATTAATACAAGTGTTCGTGTTTCATCGAACACATGACCAGAAACATCGCCTGACGTTCCTCGAATATTGCACAACACTGATCGGTTCAGTGTTAAATATTTACGTTACAGAGGCAGAGTTTGAATAATCAATAGAATCAAAACATTTACGTCACTGATATCAATGGGATTTAATTTTTTACGTGACGAAGTGTTCATTCATAAAAGAATTGCGAAATTCTCGCAATTAATCAAACGAACCAATTGCTTTCTATCTTCAAGAATATATATATTTATAATTTAATCATGATTTAATGCAGCACATGATTGATAAAAACGAAATGAGGAATATTTATCAAAAGACAGGATTAAAATAAAAAATCAACACTCAAATGAATTCTTGTAATAAATAGGTTTTTTTTTAATAATTTAACTTGTTCATCCTATACATTATCGTTTGTAATATATAAAATACATGTTTCCCTTTGCAATTGAAAATAATTCACATCATCAATTAATTAAAATGAGAGCATCTCTCAGCGATTAAAACGAATAACTAAACAATTTAGTCTGTCATTCAGAATTTCATCGATCCTTTTGTTCCACAAAATAGCATTCAGTTATTAAATTATTTAAATTGTTATTCGTTAAATTGTAATGGCAGTTTATGGGCTATCAGTAAGTCTCAGTTCAAGGCTCTTCCAACAATCGAGCCCCCCCCCCCTCCTCCTCTCGTCCCAATCGTCGTGAGCCACCCATTTATCTATTATTTTCAGTTGTATTCGTTAAATTAAAAATAGGAAAATTTTTTATACATTAATACGAGGTCTCTAATATAGAGATGTCTGCAACTAGTTTGTTATAGTTATTCGATTCACATTCATCGATGAAAAATTCACAAATCTACACACACACACACACACGGGATTTCGTTTCGAGGAGAAAATATATAATTTTTATGATTTATAAATGATAAGTTTGATAGACTTTGCAATGCAATGCGGTTTGCCTCGTGGGTGGCCGGAGATAGTATTAATTGTTTACTCATTCGTCAGCCGTCGTTGTTACAACAGCTTCAATATCTGCAATGTGAGGACACATGTCTCGACATTAATCTCAGGCACGCGCTCGTTTTTAAACACGGTTTTTTTTTGTGGATATCTGTCGTCGAAACTGAATCCTTACACTTCCGGCTTCGAAGGGGTATCAATTTTGTATTGCGAAGTGATAGAGAGTATTTCTATTTAGTTGTTTATTAATGTTTTTCAGGGGAAATGGAGAATAAAATTTTATTGAGTATTCTGTGAATATTTTTTGTGGGTAATTGAATTATTCGGAAATATCTGTTGCCGTTATTTTTTATAAATTTCATTTTTCAGGAGATATTCAGACATTGGAAATTTCGTATTTACAATTTTGTGAATATCTGAAGAAGTATTAGGGTTAGGGAAAAATATCCCTGGTAAAACAGTCCGATTATTTCCGACTGGGTGATAAAAAATGAATCGGCGTTAATGATGTTTCTGTCTTTGCCCTTTAAATTCCGATTGGCTGGTAGATAGAGTTTGGAGTTTGAGAAAATTATGGGAATTAATAGGATCAAGGGTATGTGGCCGTTATCGTCCGATTACTTTCCAAAAAAGTGGTTGATAGATCCCATATTGCTCATATAAATATTCGGACTGTTTTACCAGGGATCAAAAGAATGTTCTTGTGACGAATTAAATTCTCTACAAAATACTCTTTAGACATTATTTCTTAGACTTTTACATTCCATCCATATTTAAACAGTTAAAAAAGCATTAATTTCTCCCCATCACTTCGCAATTTCTATAACATTTTCAATTAACACAAATGACTAAACAAATTATCTTAACCAAAAAACCGACGGACATCCATTGAATCAAAATTAAAATTCTGAGCCTCACAATGTTCATCAAACCTCCCATGACGACAGTTCATCAGGGTATGTATAAGGTACCCCAGAAACAACAAATCGCTCAAATTAAAATAATAATTATCCAGATTTTGTCAAACCAATGCTAGACTAGTCGATTAGAACACCGTTAGCCCTCAAAATTTTCCAATCCGTCAATTCCCTAAAACTCAAATATTATGCTTTATTGACTAAAATAAATTCAAATTGGAAACATCTAAGCTGGATAAATAAGACGATAATATTCAATTTACAAATTTGTAATACTAAGTCGCAAGTCAGGGCATACTCGTTATTTATTCTCCATTCTCTTTGGTTCGCTCAATTCAATTCGTTAATCCCCAGTACCAGTGTAAATACAAGTCGTACATACACATCCTTCATTTAAAATTTCCTCCTCCCAAATAATTTTGAATTTAATCCCAATCTACACATTCAACTGCGACCCTGCGCCTAGTCTGTGTACGACTACACAAAATTAAAATAAAACCGGAGAATTTTTCGTGAATGAATAGAAACCAGAAGCATAAATCAAAATTTCTAGAGTTAAATCTCATGTTCTTATTCCGTAGTGAACTTTAGTTTTTGTTGCTTAACTACAGGAGATATCAAAATTTTTGTAGAGAAAAGAGAGAGCTCCCTTCAATTTCGGGATCTTCAGCGAAAACAGGAATGATTTTGATGGTGAATCGGTAAAATTAAATCAATAAACATGAAGTTTGGCTGAATGATTGGATCAAAGAGAAATACTGAAATTTTTGAAGAATAAAAATGATCTTTTTCTCCATTTATAAAAACATTATGAAAATTTCATTATTGTTCTCAGATTAAAAATTATTTCCAAAAATTTCTTTGACTCATGTTATTTATTAATTAATTGATTTATTCTACAACTGAACTTGAAAGATATTTGCTAAATATTTCTAAACATATCAGAGAACTCAGCAATTCAATGAACTTTCTCAAAAATGCCTTCATTTCACTCATTTTCTTCAACCACCTTGAAACAGTTCTTGCTAAATATCCCTAAAATTCCCAGAAACACCAAAACATCAAAGATATTTCTCAAACTTCTCCACTCCCCTTATTTCATTCAACCCAACTTCATTAATTTCCTCTCAAACATCTCGAAACCCCCCAAAGCCCCAAAAAATCCCCCTGAACCCTCGACAGCTCTCTCTCCTCTCCCCGGCCCCCGCAAAAATCTCCGCACCTCCCCTATCCCACAACCACCCCAAAAAACCTTTCCCCTCCCCTGCTTGCCTTCCCTCCCCCTCAAAACGAGTACGGATACTCATTGATATAATTCCTAATAGGAGCCGGAAGATTCCGTCCCTCGACCATCCTCCGATCGACCGCAATCCTCGCCATATGGCTGAGGGACCTCACCTCCTTGACCACCGGTTCAGTAAGATAAATATGACTGAACAAAAGTCCACTGTAATCCACCCAGACATGCCTCTGATTCTCCTCAATCTTCTTCGAGTACTGGACATAGTACTCCAGCATCTTGATGGGGCAATCGAAAGTGGGCATGGCATGAGCAATAGTGGGTTCAGCATCGAGCCTGAACCTCCCAAAGGAGTGAAGAATCCTCACCGAAGTTGGTCCCCTGGTGGTCTGCACAGAGACAGCAAAAGCATACCTGCTGTCAGAGCTATCCCTGAGTAGCCACCTCCCCACGTCTGAATTCTTGAGGATTGTCTCGCTCTGCTGCCAGCTGAGGCCCTCGTGATACCACCCACTGGTGTGCAAAAGCCTCTTGATGTCCTGGAGCCGGGCGACATCCTTCTCAGGCACAAAATTATCGAAACCCCATGGACAGGGTGTCAGCCAGGACAGGGGTGTCGTGGGTGCATCGTCCCTCCTCTCATTGTCCCCAGGTGATGAGCCCTCCTCGGCACTGCTCGCCCCCTGGCTCATGAGCCCCCCACCGTTGAAATTATTCCTGACTCTAACGCTCGTTGGACTCCCAGAGGACCTGGCCCCAGAGCTCTCAGCAGTGGCTGTGATGTTGACAGTGCACTGTCCCCCATTGGGTGGCAGTTGCACAGTGGCATTCACCTGGATCTGCACACCAGAGCCCTCTGGACCCCTCGATGTGTCCATTGGTGTGCAGGTGCTCCCAGAGGACGTGGAGGAGCTCCTGCAGTTGGTTTTCCCACAGCAGCAGGACGTCTCGTTGCTCCTGGTGCCTGGCAGTTCCTGGCAGCCACTGGGAGGTGACTTCATCAGTATCTCCTCCATCTTGTCGAAGGTGAGAGGTGACTCGAAGTAGTTGAGGTCACCCAGGGTCTCAGTGAAGTCTGTGGACAGCCTCTTCTGGACTAAACATCCGCCACCTGACAATTTCGGTCGGATTTCTATCGTCGGCGCTTGCACCAGGTAACCAGAGTCCGTTGACTCGATCAGGCATCCCCCTGACTGAATACTGGGGGTTGTTATCGTCACTGTTCCACCTGTCAGGTCGCACGTTGTGTTTATCTGGACGTCTGGGGGTGCGTGACACCGCGATGTCCTGTGAATTGAGTTGTCACGGTCCCTCCACAACTGGTGGTTGAAGACACCTGGGGCCTCCAGTTTACTGGCATCAGGGGCTGATTGGATTATCGCTGGGCCCTGGATTATTGTGGGGGCATTTATGAAACAACCACCACCTGTGTAGCCTCGTGGCACCAGCAGGCTGCCGTAGTAACTGTTGCAATCTCCCGGGGGGAGGGCTGACTCCTGGGGAGAGGGATTGCAGCAGCCCGGTACCGGGAAACGGTGTCGACAGTTTGGACACATTGCTGTCAGCATTTTTCAGGAGTTGAGTGAATCCGCATAACAGGGGGAAAGTCTGCAACAGAAGGAAAAGGAGAATTAGATTTTATTGCAACGGTGATTCTCAGAGTGAGGAAAATTATGAGTCGGTGACATTTTGAGATTATCGGGGGACAGAGGGCGTTTAGAGAAAAATAGCGTAGGGTATTTTTTGTTGAGAATTTTTCAAGCAACGAAAAATCTTTTCTCACTTTTTCTGATACATCGATTGGTTTTGGGGATATTTGCTAAATAGTCTTCATGGTTTTTTATGATTTGTCAGGTTTAGATTCATTATGGCATTATTAACTACGCAATTATTTCGGTGAGGAGTAGATTTAGGGAAAAATGTCACAAGAACTTTTTGCAGCTGATGAAATGCTCCACAAATTTTTTTTTTTTGAGGATTTTTGATAAATCTGATACTTTAGGAGATATCAGAATAGTCTTGATGATTGTTTTAATATTGTGAGTTTCAACTTCATTATGCTATCATTAATTACACAATTATTACGGTGAGGAGTAGATTTAGGAGAAAATGTCACAAGAACTTTTTTGCAGCTGATGAAATTCTCCACAAAAAATGTTTTTTGAGGATTTTTGATAAATCTGATAGTTGAGGAAATATTTGGAAAATAGTCTTGATGATTTTTTCAAATTTGTGAGTTTTAAATTCATTATATCATCATTAATTACGCAATTATCTCGATAGGGGGGTGATACTGAAATATAATCACATAATGAATGAAAACAGCAAAACAGCATTCGCAAATTCATGGAGAGCGTCTGAATTAATTAATTCATAATCTCATTAACTCGACAGCTTCATAATCGCTCATTACGCCGTGCAATCCCAACCGCGTGTACTAATTCCTAAAAGAATTCAAGAAATGACATTGAACAAACAATCCAGAACCGATAACGCCGATGAACAATCAAAGTAGCCGATAAATCGTCAAATTCTGGAAACTCCACGTGCCCACAAAACCACTTATCTCGCCTAAAAATAATAAACCGCAATCTATCGCCGACAATAGGGTTTCCAACAATTGAGCATGAAAAAAAAAAACAGACAGTACAGTTTTAAATATCGATGACGATAGCGAGAAATCTAATCACTTGAATTTCTCGCTAATCGTAATCACAAAGATGTTATTTTTTCCCATGCAAATAAGCTCGTAAAGAACAAATAATGACATTCAACAATATTTTTCTTCTGTTTGCGATGGCGAAGTGAATAGAATGCCAATGAACTTTCTTATTGCGATCATTATCGTTACCGTTAGTGACATTTCAATTAATAAGAATCGTTTGACATTTTTTATTGTTTGAAATATTTTTTATCATATATTCATATTTCTTATTAACGAATAACAAATATGAATATTCATATTTCTTATTCGTTAATAAGAAATATGAATATATTATAAAAAATATTCAAATATATCCAAACATCTATTATGGTGCGATACAGACAACATTATAGATTCAACCATTTTCAATCGTCAAATTTGTCAATTAAATTGTGTGAGAAAATTATTTTTTTAAACTTTCGTTGTTTATAAATAAATAATTGAAAGTATTTACACACTCGAATACTTTATTTTACAAGGCACGAAATCGATTTCTAGTAAAATTCAGAATATGAATAACTTTGTTACGATTCCGAACAAAGGATTTCTATAGTGGAAAATTGATTGTTTAAATATTATTTATAGGAAATGCTTGTAATTTTCAAAAATTGCAATTGCAAAAAGCTTTCATCAATTGTCCTCCAAAAGTCCACATTCTATTATTTTTCAAATTTTTTAAATGTTTTCTAACGGTTCAATATCGAGATGTAAATTCAAATCTGCAAAGTTTAAATAATAAAATCATTGTAAAATGTTAAATGGGACTCAAGTGAAAGCTCTGATATTCAACTACAAGAGTAGAAAATCATTTCACCGGAGAAAAATGTATCTTTGACAGTTTGGTACAGATCACACTAACATTTAACCATTTTCAATCATCAAGTTTGTCAATTAAATTTCCATTTTGCACAAAATTATGATTTTTTAAAACATTCGTCATTCAAAAATGAATAATTGAAATTGTTTAAACATTTGAAAACCTTATTGTTTTAGGCATGAAATGGATTTCTAGTAAAATTCTGAATGTGAACAACTTCCTTACAATTCCTTAAATTATTTATAGAAAATGCTCGTAGTTTTCAAAAATTGAAATTTTAACATTATTTCATCCATCCACCTCCAAAAGTAAACATTCTATTTTTTTTTCAAATTGTTAAACTCTTTTCTAAAATCACTTAACTCGCGAAAAAATAGCCAAACTACTTGGATATCCTTAATACCAATTGTAATGATAATAATCATCGTAATTGCGCTTATGTGACGGCGGAAATGTTTCAGCCTCTCAAATTCCTAGAAATTTGTCATTGACGAGAGAAAACGGGAGAGAGATAGAACAAGTGAAAGAGTAACGCAACAATTCACGATAATTCACATATCTAAAACCCTGTGGCCCCTTGACATTAATTCTGGGAATGTATCTATTGAAGTGAAGAGTCCTCACTTGGAGCGTAAAAAGTCCCAGCAACAACGTAATTATCCTCTCGGTTTCTCTTCAATCTGTTGTTGTCTGTTATTTTTCTCGTCGTTGGTTATTTTATTTTACTTTTTTTCATCCTACAAATGTGAATGTAACTCCACATTGACGCTCATCGCATTTCTCGGAAATTTAATAATCATAATCCTTAATTTCATCTTGGCCGGAGGATAAAAAGTCATTACCGTGGGATTATGAGAACTACTGCTGTGGATATATTCTTGTTACTAGTGTGGAGGGGCTCTTTGCGCGGGGAGGGGCGACGAGGGGGGAATTATTCCGGGAATTTCGTGGATCGGTGCTACAGGTGCGTCTTAATTAGTGAATTGCTGTAATCTATTTTTGTTTTTTTCCCGTGTGTTTAGATTTGTCTGGATAATTCTGGATTTATCTCCAAAAGTATTGGGTTTAGAAAAGGTCATTATCGTTTTTTTGTAGCTGAGAAAATTATCTACAAAAAATGTCTTGTGATATTTTTTCCTCAAACTAATCGTTATCAAGCTAATTCCACGTTCATAAAAACATAAAAAATCAACTTTTCACGGTTCGCCAAAAAGGCTAAAGTATCTACGGACTGGATGATATGATTTGAAAAAAATCTGATTTTATTTTCAAGCTCACAAAAATATCTCAAACGTAAACATAGCGCCCCCAAAATCATTCAGCCAATGCCGAGATATTAAAGATTAAAAATTAATTGATAATAATAAAGAATTTTATGAATAATTCCCCTTCTTGATTCTAACACCGACAAGTCCAAACTCTTTCCCTTGAGATTCGTTACATAGAAAATATAAAGATCCTTGACCCACTGCCACCGTTTAAAACCCAACGAAAGAAATCTGAGCCCGCAATTTTTCATTTTCGTTTTTATGAATTCAGCATAACTCCCCAAAGATTGTAATCTCCCCGCAAATAAAACTCTAAACTCATTATCCCATTCGACTGCAATAGAAATCACGGGAACTAGAGTTAACGTTTCTCCCTAAAACAATTAAATAGCAGAATTCGTTAAACAAATGGACTTGCAAGAGCCGGCCGAGTGAAAAAAGCCTGAAAATCAGGGGAAAAGAATTCCGATTGATCAGCCAATAATGTCGACGTTTCATTTGGTAAATTCGATTAAGATAATCGTTGAAACGATTGAAAATGCCGGAGTTCAAGAACGGAAATCAGTGTTACGTATGTGACTGTTGTCCGGCACGTGTGCCTCAAGTGTATAGCTTTCGTAGTATTTGTAGAGTAGCCCGAAGGCGAGTTTCCGCGAAAGCGAGTTCGTGAGCTCGTTCGTTTCGCACTTGAATGTAGTATAGGTATACGAGTTGTAACGCAAACCGAGAAAACTGTGGATGCGTGTGTGTGTCGCAATGCCAGAAGGCCAAGCCCCCGTTTATACGTCTGTTCTTGGATTAAAATGTCTTGTATGTGGTTGAGACACACGTGAATAACATGGACCTTGCGCTGGTGTTGGATTTGTTGCAATTTTGCACCGAATAAGGATGGGTTTATGATTTCGACGTGGATACGTCTGTTTTTCATTATGGAAGCGCATTTAGGGAGAAAGTCCTTATGGTTCCTTATCAACACTGGCGCCATCTGTCGGAATTGTAGAATGTTCTAGTGTTGAATTTCTAATTGAAATAATACAAGGCAAAAATTAATCTTATATTAATTGTTACTATGATTACACACGGGTATGAAGAACATTTTTATGGACGAAAATTCTGAGTAGTGTGGGTTATGATGTTTATGCTCTTGATTTTTGGGTCTAACTAAACAGAGTTGAATGAATAGGACTTCTTATGTCCACGTCACCAGAGGCCCAGGGTANATGGAGAAAAGTGAATGGTAGGGGTTACTTTTATATGGTAGAGGTTACCATAAATTATGGTAAAAGGGTTTCTAAGTCAATCTCAATAGTAATTTTTACTATGTTCAACAGTAAAGCGTACTATGTTGTATAGTAATCAATACCATTCGAACATGGTAGGCATTACTATACAATATAGCAACGACAACCATTATTATAGGAGAGATTACCATGTGGATGGTAATCAGTACTATTTATACATGGTTATCTCTCCTTTTCTCGATATCGTAGAAAATAATAAAAATAGCCATCAAGGCACAATTAAAATTGAATTATCGGTTACTCATCAACAAGTCTTTATCACCACCTTTTCTCTCTGGTCCAGCTCTTAACAAGAGATTAGAATTAGATCCAAATTATCGTCATTTTCAGCCAGTTCTCCCGTTCAATCGATCTGGAGATATTACAATAGTAAGCTCTCTCAATTATTTGGGACATAATATCAGGGANGATCCAAATTATCGTCATTTTCTGCCAGTTCTCCCGTCCAATCGATCTGGAGATATTACAATAGTAAGCTCTCTCAATTATTTGGGACATAATATCAGGGAAAACGTAAT